CATGGCACTTTTATAGCATACCTCACAACTCATGCGGACATGGACATGTATGAATCGGAAGCAAAACATGACATGAGGTTTTATCCGACAAAATCCACTCTTTCTTCTTCCCCTTTCCTGCTATTACCAGGCATGAAATTTAACATTTCACACAACCGTGGTAGTAGTTTAGAGACGAAACACCTGCCTCTGCTTCACATGTATATGCACATCGTGTGTGTATGCAAATGCAAAAATGCACGGGTGGATCATAATTATTATAACAGTCATAAGTATAATATTTCCCTCATGATATTCAAATTACTCGACTCATGAAAGGAGGACATTAGACTTTTAAACAGTGCACCGTCCTTTTTCTAGCTTGCTAAATAGGAGTCGTTAAGGAGAATCTGGGGAAAATGGGACTTTTGAGACACATGTCGTGTACTTTCTCTTTATGACTCCGGACACAAAATTGTCCGTAAACACAAAGAAATGATACCAAATTGTTGAACTTGCAAACACTGAGGCAACAACGATTGGAAGGTCTTTCCACTCTACATAATTCTTCATTTAAAGCAGACGACCTCTGCTGAATGAGAATATCCGGAGGTGAGTTGAACATGGAAAACATTCACTTTAATTTTGAATACCATGAAATCGTGCGTTTCAGAGCAAAAAGTAATAAATATTTTGGCAAACGAAATGGAGAAAAGGCTCAAAATTGGAAACGAAGGCTAGGAGCATGCATACTAGGCATTGACCGAAATTAGATATTCGTGAAGCACAAAATAAATGTCAAGAGCGTCGGCCTTTGCTCAGAATCAAATTGTAATATTCGTCGTGGAGGAAGGGAGCGAAACGACACAAGTGTCGCTCTCGGAAGTTACGACTTAAGACAGGCCGTCATCTCCAAACTTAATTTCCCAGTCTTTCCCGATTTCTGTGCTTCAAAAACAGTCATTTCAGAGGAAATATGCAAATAAGAAAATTGACAGACAGATGACAATTGTATATTTATTTTCCTTATTTCGTTTTTAAGATGTGACCCCGTGTCACACTTCGACTACGGATTGCAATTATTAACGTCGCACAACTATGAGTTGGAATTATTTGGGGGTGTGGGCGCATCTCTATTCAGTAGTAAATACAGTTATCGGATGTATGCAATTAGTTTTGTACGCTAAATGCATCGTACTTCCTCTTCTTTACCACCACACATAGCGACTACTTACTTGAACACATATCCCCGCAACAAATTTCTCCTATATGGACATATGTGTGTGCATGCATATGTGGCTGAGGTGGTGATGTAAGTATGTATGTGCACTCTGGGGAATTTTGCATCAAAGCCCAAATCATTCCGACCCACTTCCCAAATAAAAGTGAAGATGATTACTGTCTTTGCAAAATGGTGGCCAATGAACCAACTTTCCCTGAAACAGAACGTGCGTCAAAGCAAACGCTGTTGGAAAGGCTGTCTTGTGGAGAAAAATAAAACCTGAGAGCTTCGCATCGAGCGACGTATGTAATTCGAGTGTTGAGTGTGGACATGGATTGACACGGACATCTCGAATGTTTCGTTTCTCCGTCTCAAGGGCGTCAACAGAATGGAAATATTTAGAAAATGGCTGAAAAATTTCTGAATCGTGCCAAAGGAGTGGTCTAAATGGGCGACAAGAGTGAAAGCTTTATCCGACGACGACGACGACGACGACGACGAATGTTGGTAGGATGTGGTTGTATCGGGCCAGTCTCGTCATCTTGTACAAAGACCACCGAGTACACACAAACAACTCGATGCACTCATCTCAACCTCTTTTCAACCTCCTTTTTAGAGGGAGATGGATGGATTTTCTCTCTCCTGAAACTCTGTCCACTTTGAAGTCGTCTATTAAATTTTATCTCAACTATAACTCAATTTTACCGAATAAATTGGGGAATGGATGGGAAAATTTAAGTGATTACACTCCAGTCTACTGATTCTACAGGACATACTCGTGAGTAAACCCCAAAGTTTATTGGTGATTCTGATTTCCCACATGGTATGAAAAGTGTACAATCAAGGTGTATGTATGTTCAGCCTGAAGTAGCATTAACTCTGACATTATGGTTTATATACAAACATATTTTTGATTTGACCAACCATGTCGACATTGATTGGACAAACATTGAACGATGGTCCACGAACGAACTAGAACAACCATCGCATTCATACTCAGCGTTGCAAGTAATATTTGGCGTAAGTTGGACAGGAGGTAAAAATGAATGTGATGACAGTTTTGATCCCTGGAGACATTCCAACGAAGAAGCCAGTGATGCCAGTGCAAGGTTGTTTGTGACGGGAGCTAAAGAAATAATGCACTTTCCACAATGGTCACAATGTCCTGCGAATGAATATAGAAAAGTGCCAGGATGATGCACTACTGGAGCAAAAATGTATGCACTTGATGGTTGATAGTGGATGATGGCTGTCATTCTTTTAGACGCTGAGAACCTCATTTTGTGAAGATTTGGTTGACAGCGAGACTCCGTGCATGAGTGTACGTACATGAATTCATATGTCCTGCCGTCTAGAAGACAGCATAGCAAAATTTTATGCATACTCTCGTCGAGGTTTATTCGTGCCTGTAAAATAACTGTAGGAGTTTATTACCACACGAGTGCCATTTCCCACCACTTGGGAACAAGTGCATAAATATATCCATGTAAATAAGTAGGTGATTGCAAACGACAGCCATCCTTACAACGTGTACATTTACAAATGCCTTCTCTCAGATCGTTTGTTTCCAGCTTTCTTGGAGGTCTTATAACGAGCTGAGCTTGGCATGAATCCCCGAACAAATTTTATGATGTGGGCATTTAAAGCGTGACAAAAGTGGGTAAAGTCGAAACGTGTGCCACGCCACATACATAAGTCTTATGGTGAAAATTTTTGATCAAAGTGGCGTCGTGGGTTAAAGACAAACACGAAATGTAAATATGTAGACGAGATTTGTCTGCTATTTTTGTATCCACTGTGATGGTCAATGCCAATAATCTTGTGCTACTCCTCAGTCAGAAGTGCACCTCTCAACCCATGAGTTTCATGTGTTTTGAATTGTTATCAAAATGTTGCTGACTGAGCTGGTGGATAAGATACGAGTAACTGAGAAAAGAGAAATGTGAGACTTGGAACCCTGCCCTGCCAAGAATAAATCTACACTCTGAAGAATTGGACACATATGTACACACAAACACATCGGTTATTCAGTGTTATGTATACAAACAGGTTCAAATTAATTATGTGAGTCCTGATTATTTGGTGCATCCATTAGACGAGAGGCTGGATAATTTATTTTCACTTGTTCATGATTAATTTAAAAGCAGTCGCCATAAACTAGTAGACACTGAAGAATCATATGCCTGCCTATAAACACACTGAGAACTACGCAGGTGGGATCCTATTATCTAATCGTTGACGATGTGTTACATATGTGTAAATGCACATAGTTGCGAAAACTACATACTTATACTGCGACTATACGTGCGTTTTCTACAGATTCCGCTTTACCACCTTGTCCATGTACCTGTGTATGTATCAATGTGCGACACTTTCACACCATTTACTTCCCTCAATGGAATTGGATTATGAGAAGGATCAAGAAACCACAAAGAACGACCTCGAAATGTGTCCTGAATATGTTGTGCATTTTTTCCTGTCAGCCCATGCATCACATTGAGCTTCGTGTTTAAAATGCAATTTCGGGTGTTGGAGAATAGGAAATTTTCAAAAGTTGACAACAGCTACAATTCCTCGTTATGCAGAAGTACGTTTATATTGCATCAGCCAAGCAACGTGTCTTATGGACGTTGCATCCATCCAATGAAGGCAATTGTGGTAAGCCTTGAGGCCTGGCAAAGTTTTGACTCTGTTACCCAAACGAAACGCGTCTATGTATAATTAGAAATTCAAAAGTTGTTACAGTGTGACACCAAATGTAGGCTCGAGTGAAAGTTGGGCACTCAGCTCATCATGATAAATGTGAGTGCACGCTGAAAGTAAAACTCTTTCTCGTCGTGCTGTATAAGGCGCTATTTCAATTAGTAATTTATCGTGGCTCCAAGGAGGAGACGGGAATCATTCATGAATAAAACTGAATAAAACAAAATCAAAGTGTACAAATAAATTTAAAATTCAAGGAACGATGATCAAAGCACTATTAATCCCACGACGAGCTAAAAAAATACTATAAAAGTTTGCATACACATTTCTCGATGATGTTGTAATGATCATCATCGTGTTGGGTGATCATTGAATAATCATCCCCACCCACCAAGTAGGGATCAAAGTTACGCAAAATGGTAAATACAAAGTAAATTGGCTGTGTAAAAACTTTACCGTATTTGCAAAGGTTTCTATTATTTGACATGTAGGTTTGCAAACAAAAATGCCCACACAACTGATGGCAACCTTAATCGTAAAGTTGAATTGGCGTGGGAGTTGAGTCAGTCAGGGACACAGAGAAAATTGAGATTTCGGTGATATTTGGACACGGCCACGACGACTTTGTGGATTTATGACAGTAATTTCTATCAAACTCAGCGAAATCTCACCGTTATTCCATATGTCAAAACACAATAATAAATGGATTTCAAGGTTGCAGAAACGCGTGACACTCGGCGATGAATGAGATATGAAGAAGACATTTGCCCAAATAAGCGAGTAGTAAGTAATATATTTCGTTGGAAAGCAAGAATTATGCATGTATTTGGAGTGCTATTATTTCGCCCTGAGGAATAGAACGCCATGATTCCCGAGCTACTTTGCTAAATAAGTCCTCTTACAAACTGATGAGATTCTTGGGGAAATCTCACTCATCTGCCAACAACTATACACACTTATCTGAGATGAAACCTCGGACCGAATCTAATTACAAGTTAAGTGGTGGCAGAGAGGCGTTTCGGAGTAAGAAGAGCGCTTACAAAAGGAAGCAGAGTACACAAAAAGGATGATGCAGTCAACACGGTTGACGACTGACCTGAAAGTAGAGGACAACCTTGCACATTGCATCTCCTGAAAATATAATGTTTTCATTAATTTACAATTGATGTAATTTCTCGATCCCCTGATCATATTAATTCAGAATCATAATAATGCTACAAACTAATAATTAAGACCCTTACCAAGGAACCACGTCTCAGTGACATCCCAAGCAACCCTTTAAAAAGAGAAGGTTAGAGTGTCAGTTAGCCCCACCTGATCAATATCTCTGTTGACTCTGCTCATGATGGAATGAGAGTTAAATATAGCAGAAACCACAAACTAATGTGCAGGCACGTAGACAGAACTTTTTATATGATTACATAATGCCAACTTTAGGTAAGCATGCACTTACGTTGGAGGGAGACAGAAGAGAATCACCATGAAGTCAGCCAGCGCCTGGAAAAAAACATAATAAAATGGGTTACCACATTCATCAGTGATAATTAAGCTGCATATTATGCAAAACTTGCCAGGTTGACGATGAAGAGATTTGTCACCGTTCTCATCGTGGTATTACGAAACACGGCCACGCAGACCAACGCGTTTCCAACGAGTCCGACGACAAACACGATGAAGTTGGCGCATATGAGGACCCATTCATAGTTATCCGGAGTGATATGGGCCAACATCCGGTCTTCGTAATCTTCCGGCGGTTCGCAGTAGTCATTTTCATAGCGGGTACAATTTCTTGTGGAGTTGTACATCCATTCGGGTGAAAGGTAATCAAAGTCCACGGGCACTCTTGATGGTGGTGAAGTCGGCTCCATTTTATATCCGGCCAATTAGTGGTAGACAAGTCAAATAAATGTCAGAACGAATGTTGCCTGATAATGATCTCGCTCCAGAGGGCTCGCCAATGCTTGTTTCTAAATTTCTGTTTAATTTACTCTCCTCTGTTCTCGGGGAAATCCAATCTGCACCACAATGGACACAATTTCGAGTCAAAGATAAACATTGGGTTTGGGGTTTTGTTCTTCTTGTTGCGATGGACAAACTATAGGGAAGAGACGCAAGCAGGGTCGTTGATTTGGGTGTATATGGACTGTATTAAATTGCTTCTTTGTTCAGAACCCATGAGGGGCATACTGCACATCCTTCTCCTTCTGTCGTGAATGCAACATCAGCAAATTTGTGGAATGCTTCTATCTGTCTCATAAATATTGGGGAAATGTTCCAAATTATTATGAATCTCCAGGACTCTCGCCAACTCCACTTTCACAAATTGTGACTCTTTCACTCCCTCTCGCACGAACTTAACGGCACCTTTTTCTTCCCCAACAAAAGACAAAAGATAAAGAAGTTCTCCTCACAAATTGGAGAAACGTGTGTGAGTGGGAGACGATGGTTTGTTTTGGTCTCACCAACAATTAAGTCCCACTGGTTGGTCTTTTTTCCTTAAATTTGTATGACAATTGACAATAATGAATCCCGGGAGGTGCTTTCTCCTCTCTTTTTTCCTGTAAAATTCAAACAATATTTTTTGTTATTAATCAAAGCCCTTTGTTCGCAGAATACATAAGTGAACTTTTATCAACTGTCTGTCCAAATCTATTTATTTCTTTGTATTCGAGGCAGGAGGTCTCTTTCGATGAATTTATTTCCATTGGTCAACCAATAATGAGTGAAGGATAAAGCTCCGTGAAGATTTAATTCCCGGAAGCAACAACAAAGAATCGACAACTTCAAATACGAACATAATGAAAAGTGTATATCATTACTTTGATCAAAGTATTTTCATAGACATTGCTAAACCCGAATGATAATTGGAAATCACAAAGTGATTTATTTCGGGATAATAAATTGCATTAACCTTTTCTTTTGTGTATTCAAGACGAGAATATCCCTTTCTGCTCATATAAGTAGTGCACGCCACTCAAATTAATACAGAATTACATGCACTGAGGACTTGTCAACAGATTATTGCGGGGCTCTAACAATGGCCAAATTACATTTTTGTCTGCAAAGGGACCAGAAACAAGACTTATTACACAACAACTTAGATCCTTCTTAGGAAGGATCAGCAGCAGCAGCAGCCTCCGCCGCCGTCGCCGCAGTGGAGATTCTGCCTCGTCGTCTTTGAACCACAGGGCAAGATTGAATTCATTTTTGCCCAATTGATTTATGGCCTTTCAACGAGCAGAACCTTTCACGTCGTCCATCTTCCTTCCAAAAATGACGACGAAAAAACAAAACCGCAATACGTTTTGCGTTAGTTCTAGAAAAATGTTTCACCAAGTTCGATTCTCTAAATATATCTGGGCAGAGATTGGCATGCAATTCACTCCAAGGCTAAAATATATAGAAATTTCGATTATCTGGAACCTGGAAAAATGATTGATAAAACCGTGCAGATTTCGCATAGATCGACCATATAAATATTTATGCATATCAGGAGATGCATGTACATGGAAAGTAGTTTTCAGGCTGAGATTGAATTTAAGCCATAAGTAAGTAACAGATTAGTGTTTCTTGGATTTGTTTGTTGCATATAAGAATAACTCTTTCACATATTTAACTCGAATAATTGCTCCAAAAAGGCTTCCTTACCCTCATCTCTGAGCGTAAGGAAAAGGAGAAAGTCATGTCAATTACGGCTTTCATCATGGAGAAAATCAATCACCTGGCAAATAAATATCTACTAAATACTTTCGCAGCGGATGTAGTACCGTCATCATTGCTCGCACAAACGTAGGAATGAGATGAAATAGAAAAAAAACATGTGGGAGGAATTCCATTACTTCTTGATAAGAATATATTTATCCAGGAGATTTCGAATATGATGTGAAGTCGTATTCATGAAAGAATGCTGGTGAAAGTTGTGATGGATTCCAATTTAAAGATCATTGGATAAAATCGAGGTGATCCATAATATGTATGAATCAGATATTATCTGAAATTCCATACCTGAATTACGACCGAGTCTCTATCAATGTTAATTTGGCATGTCAAAAGTCACCTTGGCACATGCCAGTCAATCGATTTTGCTGTATCATTCAATCATCTAGAATAAAAATTCTTTTGTGAACCTCAACATGGAAAAATGTACTCGTGGAGATTTAATCCACCATAAAGATTGCGGTAAGTGCATTAAGGGGAACTCAACAATGTTTGAAATAAATGGCGGAGGAAAGTTGAAAAACTTTCAGACAGGACTAATTTAATTGATCAAAGTTTCTTATTATTGATTATCTTGAACTTTGTCAATTAAATAGAGTACAACAAAATCCATTCAATATGACAAATCATCCAGACTCGTGAAAAACGAGTTAAAATAAATTCGATTTTCTTGGATCCCTTTTGTGGTTATTATTACGAAGAATTAATGATTTTGAGACTCACCACTTGAATTAATTTAGCATTCAGTCAAATTCAATGACCATAAGCAAATCAGCAATATGATGACTTCGGAAGATTTAAAAAAGTACGGATATTTGTGCGTTATCATCTTCGTGAAATCTATTTCCCAACACAATTGTCATAAATCCATACAAACTGAACCGGAGCATAGACGCAGACGGGATCATTGCACGTACTAGAACACCGTACGGTACCGACCCTACTGTGACTAGAACGTTTCAGATAATTTGCACAAAGCTTATGGAATTTCCGTCCCTATAAACAATACTAACTTGTCTGGGGAAATGTATACATAATTCTGAAATAAGGTTAACTCTGTATGTTCCTACATACTATGAACGCGCTTCAATCGAACAACTGACACTGTGTGGGAAGACGTTTAATTGATTACGTGTCTAGAATTAAACCCAAACCCGGTTTCTTGAGTCAAATTCTACAAAGAAGAAGGCAGCAAATGCAGGATCAGAGTTCGTCACTGAAGATTTCCCAAATTTTGAAGAGTACAATCGATTGGAGAGTACAGCACTGCTGAGACCTTGAAGTCATAACCGTGAACTGTGAATAAACCTTTTCAAGTCACTTTATGGCGCAAATGGACTTGCACCTCAGAGAAATTCAAGAAATGGAACAAAACCAAGTAGTTGAAGATAATAATGAGCGGAATCATCACGAAAGGAAGCGAGGACGAGGAAAGGTTAACCATTCTCTCCCCAGTGATCAGCAGCGATAGCTCTATCAGCGATTTGAGCCCTTATGTGCCATAAAACACGCCATCATCCCGCTCTTCGTATCGCACCTAATCGTTCAATGATATATGTACACACTCGCATTCTTACAGTCACATTGCAGCGTGGATATGTACATAAAAGCTTCATACGTTTTCCTGTTGCTGGTGAAAAGAGTGTGACACTCTGCCTAACAATCAGCCATTAACTTAAGTACATCCGACCACTTACCGACCATTGGAACAGGACACCCAAAACAAATGAGTTGTCGAGGAGCTCTTGTCGCAACACTTGATTACTGTCCTTCACACATACACGTCATGCACTTTTGCCTACCCATTTTTCGCAAAGTATGGAAAAAGGACAAAAAGAACTTTCACCAGGACATATTCAAGCTTCTACTTTCTCCTCACCCTTTTTTGACTTGACCCTCGACTCACAAGGACAAAAACACTTTCTTGTGGCACAGGTTACCTAAATCAACTGAACCAAATTGACTCATCCATTTCCAAGCATAGCACCACTTGTCGGAGGCGTTGTCATTCAATGTATATACTCACGATACGATCTGTCGTTAGCAGGCATACCCTTCTCAAAGGATGTTACGCAACAGATGTTTAAATATAAATATAAAACTCATTCTCAAAGAGTTTCTTGAATCATGTGTCGAAATACAATGTCAAGACTAAAATATTCTCTTTTTTGAGAATTCAATTTCTTACTGCAAGTATGAGATTTGTCTGATTATGCAAACCAACGCTGAGTGAAAGCCATGGGAAAGTGCATTCTTGCTGGGGCATTACACGTGGGGCAACGTGAGATTGGAGTTCTACGCATCAATTCACCAATTACTATTAAATGCACCAATAGTCATACTTAATTTGCCACACTACCCACTGTACATATTGTCCTGAAAATGTCCGTAATTGAGCAGGAATATAATAATGCTCATGTGTCATGCATTTCTCAATTCGAGCTAGCAAAACAGCAATAATGGAACAATACAATAAAATAATAATGAATTACAGGAAGCAATCATAATCATTTTGTTGATTGTCATTGCTGAATGCTAATCGAAATTCAAGAGGCTTCATGATTTCTGCTTTCGTGCACATACATATCTCGTAACAGAAGATATGTATGCTTAGATTTTTGGGTATTGATTTCACTGACTGAGTGATTTTGCTGTGCTGTGCCTGGCGTGTGAGTTGTGATGTGATTTTATGAACCAATTTGACTTCATTAACTCTGACAGAAATGCGTCGACACATGGACTCGCTCACTTTACAAATTCTCATTCAGCAGCTCTCAACAACGTATCAAGTTATTAAATACAACGTTTACTGGGTGCACCGTGCGCCTATCTTCGTATTTATGTATGTACCCAGTAGCTGGTGAGATCAAACTTCATATTAAGAATACCAATCTGCACAAAAGATATTGTTATAGCGCGTGAAAAATAACAATATGTCGATTGAATGGTGATCCGAAAATAAAAGCCCACCGTTCGTTGCATACCTCAACGAGGGCTTTTATTTCCATTGGCAGGAGGGCAGGCAGGTGAGATGCTGGGGAAAGGGTTTGAAGTAATCTGTGGTTTTTGAATTGAATATGCTTCAAGGCGTATATAAGAAGCTGCTCGTGAGGAATAATAAGTTTCTGCTGCATTAGGAAACAGAGCCTAATAAGTAACTCCACGAGCAGCAGCCACACGTTCTCAAATTTCAGATTTGGTAGGTGGAGAAATCTGCCTGACTGGAACCAGTGATTGATTACCGATTTGATTCAACTTACCTTTTCTGTCACCTCGTAAAACTAATCTGCACAGCGCCACATGCAGACACTCCTCCGCGTCTTCTCACTTTGCTTGGGTCGTCGTCGTTGTCCTGGTCCTTGTAGACGAGTAAAATTGGTATCAACGATGATGGCACGACACGGAGGTTCCGCTCAATATTTTCCCCTGACACTCTTCTGGCTGAGTAATCTGCCAAATTGAAATCGAAAGAAATACCATCGAATTAATGTTGAGCCACACACGTTGGAGGACAATGAAATGGATTGAATTGCGTACAATGAGAGAGAAAAAACAATGATAAATTGGATAGCATTTGTTCTGGTTTGTTTATCTCTGTTCAGCAATTTAAATGAGCTTTAACCTTACAAATTGTGCGATTATGCTTTAAAGTATACATGCATATCCGCACAGCGTTGAGCTGTGAAGTATAGTGAAACTTATTACTATTCTTGATCTCATGAACAACAATTCTAAATTTACATATTGCATTGTTCTGTCGCAGGTCAGACATATAAGCTTCACTCAGCTCGACTGCAGGACATGCACACGTACATAAGCTCAGGAAAGTCTTGTGAACACAACAAAAGGTGAGGATTACGATGGACAGCAGCAGGTTGTAATCCGGAGTAATAAGTTGTGTGATAATTTGATAAACTGATTTAAGAAAAAGATTAAGAAACAGTCTTTTTACATATTAAGTAAGCACATATTACGTCTTGCGTTTTATGTACTACGGAGAAAAGCCTCTGCTTTATGTAATACTAGGCAAATTGAGACTGGGTGACAATGGAGGAAAATGCTAAAATTCTGCAAAATTTATGACCATGTTCTGAGAATGGCATGTCCAAGCAGAAAAGTTCAAACAAAATAATCCTGAAATGTAGGATCTCACTATTCACGATAAAGTAAGAAATGCTACTTTCTGATTCGGGGTGCTCTGCTTGCGAAGTAAATTTCTTTGGGGACGAAGAATACGTGAATACTCACGAATGTGCTACTACGAATGCTATACGTACGTACATACCAAGATCACCATCGTACAGTACACACAGCATCCATGCATATATCGGTCAAATTCCTTGGGGTATGGTTTGATAATGGAGAGATAATCTAATAATTTAAATTCTCTGCCCTCTCAACTGCTCCAAAAAGAAACATATTAAGATGTTGCTGAGGATGTGAGTGGGCACGGAACAAGACGCACAAACTAAGAAAAATAGGCTCACCTCGAGAAGAGAGTATCGAATCCAACTACGACGACACGATGTGAAGTAGCAATAAGCAGAAGAAGGGCAACCTTGCAAATTGGACCAGTGTCTCAGGGAGTAAAGACAACCCGCTTTTCGTACCAACGACAGAAAACTGCTAATGCCAGCCTCACTTGATGAGAAAATAGGTCGTGGTTTCTGTAATGTACAATAACAATCTTTGAATACGGACGACGAGATTGCTTGCTACACCCTCACGTTTCCCTTTCCGTTGAGCTCCTACTGCTTTCTCCTCACAATAATGACAGCGGTAACAAGTTTCACTATTTAATAACCCACTGAATTATTCGTCCTTAGTTGGCTAAGCTGCAGGTGAAACAGTAGACAAGCAGCATTTAAATAACAAATTTCCAAGATTAAAGAAAAATACACCACTCTCCGCTTTTTTAAAAGATGGCAAGTCTCAAGTATTAAACGACTGCTTCGGGGCTTCCAATTTGAATTGCTTCCATAAATGTTTGGCAAAATTGAGTGGAGTTGAGGAGATTAAACCACTTTTGATTTTCTGCACGAGAGAGACGGAAGATATGTCGGGAGAGGAATACTTATTTGGTTCGGATTCAAATTAATTCACCAAGAGGAGTGGAGGAGGAGGAGGAGATGTGTGTGTAGCAGGTTCGAGTGCTGTGCTATTCGAGGGAAGAAGAGGAAGTATTATTATGGATGAATATATCTTGGGTTTGCAGATGAATCAAGCTGGGCTGAGTGCGAAGATGGATTTTTTGACTCGTTGGAATATTTCAGACCAAAAAAGAAAAGTTAAATAAATTTGAGATTGAGATATTCTGGATCCAAGGGCTGAGACAGGAGGCGAGGAGGCGAGAAGAGACGGCGTGTACTTTTACAGGCGATCTGCACAGACCAAGAGCTACCAACTCAATGCGTATGCTTACTTTTGCCAACTTTGCTTGGTCTCTGATTTTCCCTGCAAAAACGAGGAACAACTTTTGCAAGCTCCTGCTGGTGCTGGTGATGCTTGTGCTGCCTTCGCCTTGTCAGGATGGTACAGCCGCCCAAACATCCTGTCCTTCTCCAACAACTCAACTCTCAGTTTTATTTCACGCTTCATTCGATAGCAATCATATCCCACGCTTATCACATCATCAAACTCTTGTATCGCCAAAATCGTCTTGTTATCTACTCGCATGTAACTGAGGACGAGTGCACATGCACACGTAGCATTATGGCGGAATAATATAATATGCTATGCTAATGTGCCTTCGCTCAGTATTTTACGAATGCACAGTATCTGTATGCATGTCCATAAAGGGTTTAACCAACCAACCCAGTTATTAATTCAAATGATTTCCTTTCCATAAATCGCTCATGGAACTCTGTGGCCGAAGAGTGACAAAGAATACAAAGATGTAAAACTGATTTATGAATTGAGTTTAGGCTTACAGCTTGGGCGCGGTCTGCAGATTTCCATGCGAGTGGAATTGGTTGAAGGATTTTGCGCTTATTCAGAACTGATGAGATTAGGAAGAAAATGGTTTTGTCGGAATTTTACCGGATTGTACACATATTTCCAAATTTCCAGAGTTAGAAATAGTGACTGCATGTTAAATGTATATGGACATGAAATCGATATGTGTCGGAGGAAATAAGAGGGGAAAGCATTTTAAAGATTTGTGGTTCGAACAAGCCTGACAAGACCCTTGTCAACAATGGGAGACAAATTGATGGTATGAATATTGTTATCGGTCCATATCCGACCGAAGTATGATCAGCTTCCATGTGACGCTGATGGATCATGGTGCTAAATGGATGTGCCACACAACGTGAGGAAAAATATATCAAACTCAACATGGTCGATTGCGTATCAATATTTGGAGATGATGAGGGTCAGGTCAGGAGGAATGCTCCCATTCATGTTTAAAAATGCTGGTGGTGCTTGTCTGCAAACGGCATCTACATCAGTACATATGTACGTGTATGCATAAAATAAAGTCGTATGCAAACCACATAAAATATTTTATTATTTGTGATCATGTTTCATGTTCCTGGTGACCGAATTCTACGAATATTTATACATGTCTCGTACATCAACTAAAGACATTCTCCTGGTTATAATAATATTGATTTGATGGATGATACGAATTGATTTTTTTGCAATCAAAATTTTTACAATTTTGAACTTTCATAGAAGAGAAAGACATGTACACATGTAGGAAAGACAAAAATTGCTTTACGCCTGTACTTTCCACCTCAGCATGTTTTGCATTTACCAGAGGTCAAGGTTGCGATCGTGCATATGTGAATGACGAAAATAAAAAAGGTGCTTGCAAAAGGTTAATGCTGAGTTCTCTGGAAAGGTTTGTTTTTATAAATGTGCATACATATTTAGATGTCAACAAGGAGGAGAATTCAATTTCCTGATCTATACTTTATACGCGTGCGACCTCTCCTTGACATGCGGATGTGAGTAGTCAAGCGGTAATATTTTTTTTTCTGGTTGAAATCCAATTTTATTTGAAGTTAGAAGCATCGAATATCTTTTGACAAACTCAAGACAAGTCAGGTAATTCTATAAGTCAAGAAAGAGACTTGTACATACGACGCTAAATGTCTGTAGGTGAATTCCAGTTCGAAATGAAAACCGAATCTGAGTTATATTTCGTGCTTTTGTACAACTAGATGCACTCTTGTGTCGTGGTTGTGGTGCAAATGTTCTCTTGATCTGATTCGGATGCGAGTAGTCGGAGGTGGAAGGATGCTACAAATTTACGAGTCAATAAATTCACTTCGTTTCTCTGGGTAAACTTTTCGTCCCTTGCACACATACTTATTCTTGCAAATCGATTCTTATCTCATCTCCTTAGCTTTGGCCACATGAATGTAATTTTTGTCGCGAAACCGCAATTCCAAATTCGGATTGTGGGATAAAAATCGTCATGGGTGGTGGAATCCCTGGGTGCTGGTGGAATGCTGGTAGGGGTGAAGTGAATAAATTGCGAGCCTTGAAGATACCACCGGATCTCGCACCCACGTCAACCTCAAACCACACACCAAGGCGAGGAGAAAGCGCATGCAGGAGAAAGCAGAAGAGTGAGAAATTGAGGACTGACTGGAGTTAATGGCCATGTTGCGGTTTTGAGGTTGCAGTTATCAGATCACTGTTAAGATCGCTCCTCCAACACCTGAGGACAATGCAGGCCCCATCAATGTTTTCGCTTTCTTGCACTTGGTTGCCTTCTGCCAGCCATTAAGAAGACATTTCAAGCTGCTCCCCACAGCACGACTTTTATACGTACTCCAAGGTCACTATCTATCCAATTCGAACAAAATCATGTACAGTTGGGGTTTGGATTGCTTGTGTGGAACCATTCTTGCGGAAATGGATGAAATTTGTCAATAACAAAAACACAACGGATGACAGAAAATGATCAAAGCGAGTCACTATTTATTTTCTTTGTTTATTACAAACGTGGCATACTCGTGAGGATTGACGCATTCTTCTGGAGTAGTACGCACAGAAGAGAGACTAAGGAGACGTAGGATAAACCTTAAACTTTGTAAATTGTAGAGCCTGTCATTCATGAGCAAAACCCGCTGGGATCTTGGATGGCAACAAGTCGTCGAAATAAACAAATTGCTCGCAATCGCTCAATCACTCAATGTATGAACTGTTTGAATTCAAACTGGAAGGCATTGAATGGCAACAATTAAAAAGCATGTACATCATTAATCAAGTTCGCAGTAATATACTTGACCCTGCAATTATTTGTATCATAATGCCCCATTACTAAAAGCTGTTAATAATTTCTGACCATTTATCATATCCTATTCCAATAAATCATTTCTAAATACGTTTTGACAGATTTTTTCCCGTTTTTTTGCAAATGGTGTTCTTTCTGCCCATGTTAAATAACTGGATGTTGCATAACACCGATTTCATAAGTCTCAGTCAGTATTAGTAGCAACATACTTAATAACGATTTCTCGGCCCAATCTCGACCTTCCCTAGCATAAAATTCTAACGTTGGCTTTTAGGAATTGATATATCTGCCAGCCCAGTAATCCGCCCAGAATGGGATTCCCTGAAGGAATATAAAAATAATTTCTTTGCTCACCATTTGCTTTCATTTGTAATGAGGAATTTCTTCCGACATGAAATGGATTCCTCTTGGACGGTGATGACTGCGGAGCAATTCCTCAGTTCGCTCATCTCGTGGTGACTTTCATTATTTTTCTGAGAAAGTGAGGAAGGAATGAGTTTCTGCTCCTCGAGATAGAAGCCGACCGACCAGATTAGTGGGAATGTCGCCTTTGTCTTATCACAATTGCTCGCTCACAGTGATTGAAAGCAGAAGTGCAGGAAATTTCATCTTGCGAGATTGCATGTGCCATGCTCCGAATTTTACATACTCCTCACTCCAATAAGTTGAGGGAACGAGCACAGAAATGACACAGGGAGAAATTATGAGGCAAGAATGCATTAATACGAAGAAGGAGAATGATTAACATCACTTCATATGACGGAAGGGTGATAAAATAAAAATGCGTTTCTTGACCCAACAAAAGCGCAACTTGCAATAAATTACAACTTCTTGCCTTGTAGATATTGGATGTGAAAGCAAACTGGGCGATTTCATTTATTTATTAATGTCGGTGGCTACTTTAAGCGAATGTTCTCCCCCTCTATTCTCACGGTAATAACGCTTGAAAGATTTATAATTTTTTGAAGCTCTATTTTCGGATACTTACGATGAGAACGCAAACCATGTTCAATCCATATCTTTTTGTGACTGACGAAAGTGCTCGGTTTTTAAAGCAGAATTGCGCTCTTTTGCGGCACTAGGTCGAATTACGCAAATTTTTCACGTGTACACATGACAAAATTGAATTATATTTTCACATTTTTCAAACTCTTGTTTTATGTTTTAAACAATTCTATATTATAATAGTGGTAGTCAGTCAAGTCACATATAATAAATGTCAGATGACAATGTAGAAAACCATGTGTGACACCATGTTATAGTTATGGATGGAGTCTCGTATCTCTCAAAAATGGATTCGACAACTTATGTTTCCACCTGGTTTTGAAGCTGACACCTTTTGCACGAACAGCGACGATATTATTTTTCTATCTTTTCTTTCTAGTCGAGTTAGACTTTAATTATTCTTGATCAAAAGTGGATTTGATAAAAACTTTTATCTCTGAAAGAACCCCCCGGTTATCAAGTTCTGAAAGTGTCTATGATTCTCTAAACAATCATATCTGGACCTGGCTTTAACCTTTTGAGTGACCTAAGACCTCTATATAACTTTGTTAACAAAAAGTTTTGTCGATTTCAGAAAATAATCTTAAAGCCCCCCATTTTGAGAAAAAGGTTTTTTGCCTCTTTCAGGGGCTATGAATAGATGCTTGCATGTTATGCAATCTGAAAGCTCAAAACAACTTTGAATAACTTTATTGAAGTCCATTGTATGTATGACATGCATATTTGTGGCCTTTTGAATATATTTCAGTCAAAATTGACTTTCTACTTCACCTGTAAATAAACGTCTTTTGAAATCAAATTGACCACACTCGTAAGTTTTCAGCCTGGACTAAGTTGACTGGTACGATTATGATGTCACGATTGAGCAATTTCCATTGTGAAAAAGACGAAGAGGTTGGTTGACAAATGTCATAAGCTCCAAATTAATTGGCCCAGTTTGTTGTATAAAAATTAAATGAGGGATAAGTCTTTGAACACAAAAATTTCACTTACTCAATTCAATCTGCGATTACACAAGTATATTTAAAACGTCAAATGATACGTGAATCTAGTATGTGGGATAACGATTATGTACGTCAATCAGAAAATTGAATAAACTGCATGAATTTATTGCTACAAAAAACCATAAATATTTGTACCTGCAACACCAGGAAATAAATTGGATGAATTGCCTAAATGTTGAGACTATTTTTTAGTTGAGGGGAACCGCAGGAGAACATCTAGTTTTGGAACACACCACAGGCGATTAAAAAATGTGTCATGCCATTATCATTACCTTGATTGAACTTCAGTTTGTTGACATTTGGGCCTAATTGAGCAAAAACTATCCAGTGAAGCTCCTAATGCCAAAGCTGACACGACGCTTATTCGAGGAGTTTCTTTAACGCGAGCGAGTGCTCAAAGAAGAAATCAGAGGGAGTAAATATGTTTACGGGGAAGCAGTGATGAGACAACGCCGCTTTCTTTCCCAACCCACTTTCTTTTGGTGGTTGGACTCGCGAGATTGATGAACTGTACGGTTCGTGCTGGTGCTGTGGGTACATAAGATAAGACCAACCAGGAACGACGGGAAAGTCAAAATCCTGGTGACTAATATCGATGACCTGAGTGGTTCCAGGAGATAAGTGACACGTTACGCAACCAAGTACTTACAAACACATGCTAACTAAATTAAGTCTAAAAGTGATATTGTATAATGCTGTGCCATAGTTTATGGGATGTGCTACATATGCCGGCGAATAATCTTAAACAAGTTGCTGGATTACGATTATTAAAATATTAGCTCTTTTTTATTAATTTTTCAAATATTTTGTGCAAGCTGTACAATTACAATGATTGAAATTGGAATCAAAAAAGTAAAATTGTTTGTCGCATCGTTCCCAAAAATAGATGTGTGCCTTCTTATCCCGAAGTGTGACTCCTTCCAACATTGCAAATTTCCAGCTTCACCGTACTTATTTCTTATTGTTCTTAAAGTGTATTATGTATTACTGTAGTTCTTGTTACTATTTGTTAGTGAATACAAAATATAATTATGGTTCTATTCTATGCTAGAGTTACCGTAACTAGCGATAAGGGCGGGGTTTTGGAAGTCAAACTAGTATAATTAATGGTACAATTGTTATGGTTTTATCCTAGAAAATATTTGTGCAAGTTAATTCGTAATATGGTAATTATTCGTAGAATAATATTACAAATGAAACCCGATTACGACATTAAGCAATCTTCTGGTTTAAAATACTAAGCTGTAGAAGAATCGCTTTAGTGTCAATTCTTATCAAGTGTTAATTCGTTAATTAATAATCGCGCCGTGTTACAAAATTGGTATCCAAATGTATAGCATGAGCAGTAGCAGCATCGGGCACTACACTCTTATTATTTATCACGGGATATTTGCAACGGCAAATTGTTACGCGTCATCACAACCACCCTTGTAAATCAGTAACCTATAACCTTCAGAAATACGCTTGTTAACATAATTATGGAGACAGTAGTGGTAACTCATTCATACTAAAATTACACTGTAATCAGAAGAACACTACAAAAACTTGTCATAAATGGAGCATAATTAATAATTGTGCGTATTCATATTCCAAAATTATATGTAACAAAGATGCTATTATGGCACAATATCAATATCGATTTGAAATATAAAACTCTCACTTTGAAATTCCTTAATACACTGGATATCATAATTGCATGAGTGAGACCTCGAAATTAAGAGTCAATACTTGAAATAATACAATTAGTTTGGCGCAAGTAATGGTTATTTGTATAGTTAGCAAAAATACAAAAGAGGAAGGAAGAACTATACATCGTTTATCAATTGAATTTGTAGTGGTACAAACCGGTTAATCACAGGAATACGTGTACTGCTCGTAATATTATATTATTATTTTGAATAAGAGTAGCAGTAGAAGTTATGTAAGGAGGAGTTTGTGAAAAGACAAATAATCTCATCTCGTTATTGGTAAAAAAATGTCTCCCAAAACGATTGGACACTTCGTAAAGAGCTACACCTTTTTTCATACAACAGAAAAGAGAGAATTTGTGAATGCTTGTGGCTTATAATTATGAAAAAACGATATAAATGTCAAATATAGCAAATGCATTAATAATTGCACTCGCCTAGTTGGCTTTGAATGGCAGTAAAATAAGTATAAATCCAACATGAATAAAATCTATGCGGATAAAATACATGGTGTTGATGAGTGTTATCATGACATGAGAGTCTACTCCTCTTGGAAGCTGGACCTGGACTGTGTTGAGTATGATGATTTAGTGGCAGAGTCGGAGGTTGCGGTTCGTGTAGTTCCTCCGGGTCCTCTTTCCGTTGTTGCAGACGTGGACGACGTTGCAGCAGCGCCTGCAGTTCCAGACAGCGAGAAGGATACGTTGGATCCTCCGGATGGCGTTCTAAAAAAATCAGTTGCGCATTAACAATTTGGTATTTGCACAAGAAACACGATGCCGACGTCAATTAAAATTAAATCAACGTCAGAAAAAGGCGGACCCATTTCTTAAGCAGCTCTTGATGATGAGCGTGCACTTTCAATTTTTGCCCAGTCTCAAATCTGAAGGGATTATCCACACTTTATTTAACATTTTGCAACAGTCAGAGGTAAAACTAAACATTTAGCTCCACCGAAGCGGAAATATAAAGAGCTGAAGGAAATCTTAATTATCATATTTGAAAACCGGTGGGGAACTCGGTTGGAGTTAGAATGAAACAAGTCACTGGATAAAAGTTGACGAGATGCACAGTATTATCTTAAACCACACGTGCTGGTGCCCCTAGCCATTACTGTAGCTATGTAGCCAGACGTTGCTCCCAAGAGATAAATGAGCACAATCTGTTACCTGTCACATCAAGACTTTCACTACTTTCTTCTTTACATCTGCTCCCGTACTCTAATGACTCAACTTTAGAATAAATATGCACGTCACTAACTTTCTCCCTCTAAACTGCTGCAATCCAAAATTCTTTCGTCGACAATATTGGACACTTTCTTTTTTTATCACCAATGACCTTCAAGGGTCACATTTGAGACTGTCGAATTTACCACTCGGTCTTCTCGAAAATGACAAAATGAACTTGAGGTATGTATTATTAGTACCTTGGAGTCTGATGAGACACTGCCACCGGAATGTTACTGTTAGAAGGCGTCCGTGATCTGTCACCCACCGAGATTAACAAGATTATATTATAATTTCGTTCAAGCAATCCCAGTTAACTTTACAGCATTGCTTAGTTATTAATGTTGTAGATCGTTAAGTCTATTAGTTTTGTATATCATTCATTACCTATCCAAACTGATTTCACCAGAACCAGTTTCTCCTCCGACATACAATGGTATTCTTGACGGTCTATGCAAATTAATTAGCAAAAGCATAGGGTTAAGTTTTTTTACAGCATTATTATGTTGTTGGTTTATTTATGTATGATTATGGTAGCTCAGAGGTAAATAAACCAAGTTTCCAGTTAATCTTTTCAGTCTTTACCTTCCAGCAGAGTTAGTTAGTGATGAGATGCTGGAAGCTGAGCCAGTGCGTTTCATAGGAGTAGCACTGGATGGCCGGGTAAAGGAATGTGCTCTGCGAGGATTAAAATCGTCGTGAGTCTCATCAGTACATAATACACCTTATCAATTACGACTAATGCATAGCGGCGTGTTCACTGACGCAGATATCCAGCAAATTTCTCTCGAGAAAAGTGCTTACAAATATAAAAATAAATGACATTTTGAATCAAATCTGTGTATTACACGTACCTCTCAGTGCTTGGACCACGGGATCCGTTGAGATTGGTACTCAGGGAGAAAGCAGGCCTGGAGGGGGTGGATGTTGCCAAGGGTCCTCTGCTACCAAATGTACTGCCGGATGTTCCTCGTTTCAAACTGGCCGAACGACGAACGGGAATACGGGTCCCATAATCATCTACAATTTCCAGAGATTGGCATTAACAAACATGTTTGTAAAATGACCATTCCGCAAGTTCCTCGAAATATAATATTACAAAGCTTGTTTCCACCGCGGAATGGATTAATACAAATTCGTAATTCAACTATGTTTACCACATTCATTCCACATTGTTATGAACAAACAAGCCAAATCGCAAAGTAAAATATTCACGACACACTCATCGTATAAATGATGAAAATCTTACCAGTGCTATCCAACGACGCGTTGGACCCAGTACGACTCGGGGGTTTGCTACCAGACCGACTACCCGGTTGACTACCACCTAACAAAAAAGGCTATTTTTAAAAGCAAACTCACAATACACAACTGATATGTATGCTTCGCAATCACAATGTATCAAAGAAAAGCACCAAATTATTCATAAATATGTCAAAATTTGAGATGAACAATTTATATCAAGCGATCATGCGAAAAAGAGCGAAAACAACAACAAATTATGCACATACGTCCAGGCCCAGTTGATGATCGTCTTGGAGGTCGAGATAATGAGAATCCGTCATCAGAGTATGTGCTTTCTGGAGTAGTCCGATCTGTAGATCTAGCTCTTTGTCCCATTGGAACACTTCGAATACTGCGCTCCTTCACCTATAACAGTTTTTAGAAGTTAGAGATTTTCAGGAAATTATTATTGGTCAAGCAAAAGCACTCAGCACAAAAGGCAATCATAGTCAGGTTGCGTTTGCAAGGTAATCAGAAGCAGATTTGAAGAAAGCTTAAAAATTGGTGAGAATTTCTGAAAGACAAGAATACGTCAGTATCACGTGCAATATGTACAAACTCGTTAAGACATTTTATTCTTTTGTTTGACGACAATTTAATTTTCGGTCTTGCAAATGTAATTACTCAATTCTACAAATACTTCATTCCATTAATTGTTTTCCACTCTTAGCAGAGCCACACATTCGCGATTACCCATTGGCGGATCGGTTTCCATCTGGAGGTTGCTGATTTTAATAATCTAGAAGAAGAATGTGAGCAAGTGTTGGCACTGGAATGTGAGAATGAGCATCGGAAACTTCCACCCAAATCATTTCCTTGTCGAATACTGTCAAATATTGGCTTCAGCTGGGCCATGATGTACTCGGCTATATATTGAAATCATCACGCAACAAGAATTTTCAACATTACAACAGACACATATTTAGGGGGACAATGGCGACATTATTGCTGAACACAGGAGAGGAGAGATCTCTCACGTCCTGTCCAATTTAAGCTAAATTCAATTATTTTGTAAACTATCTCACTCAACCTCGTCGTTTATCAATCGTTCAATTCGCATGGATGACTTGGATGATTTTGTATCCATGTATTTTATATGTATGCTAAACACAATTTGTCCATCTCATGCACAAAGTGATAAGCGAAAGCAATAGATAATTGGCCATTAGTTTCGCTAATAAATGTAATTATTGGAAGCATTAGGTAGGGCTAACTAGCAAATGCATGCGTAATTGACGTGTGGGGTGGTGGGTAGGAACCTTTGTGATTGGACCCGCTGCTGGGAGTGACTGTGCTGACCGGTTCCCACTTGATATCGTGCTTCCACTCGGCTTGGATTTGAACGCCGTCATAGTTTGGGAGACTCCTATTGTTTTATTGTATTAAAACAAACAAAAAAAGATGCATAATGTTGAAGTATTCATAAAAATCGGGCATACCATCAGCTAAGATAAACTGTTCACGCAGCTCGATGTTGGTTCGACCCTTGGCTGGATGGAGAAAGCAGAGAAACAAGTTAGAAACACAGTTAAATCAGTCCACACCACTTGAGTTGTTGCACTCGAATAAACAAAACCAACCAAACTCAGGAAATCAAACAAACAGTGTTAACCAAAATGAACGTTTGAATAATTGATGCAAACTGAAAGGACGGTGTGAGATCCAGAGTGAAAAGGATTTAATGAGGACAGCATTCTGGTTTTAGTGTTTCGAATCAAGTGCAATACTCACAACAATACAGAATAACTCTCTAAATATATATTCGTCGTAAAGAACATGCAGCGATCATTCCACAAAACTAATGTGCTGAAACTTTATCATGCAGCTATGTATGTACTTCTAGTGACTAAATAGCTAAACGAGTAAAATGCAATCTATAAAAATTTTCAATTCCGAAACCGCACTAAAAAGTAAACAAATCCGATAAAATCTCTGCGTATAAATAAAATATTAGCGTGACATGCATTTTCCACTGTACCAAAGAGGGTAGCATATATTCATTAACTACAGACATTATAGTAGACTATGGTTAGCATAAGCAATCAGTGAAGCTCTGGTTCACGAAATTGTGCATAGACACATATATCATCATGGTAGAATTTAATAAAAAACGACGACAAAAGCTACGACAAAACATTGGATGCATATATGACATGAAATACAACAACAAGAATAAATCCAACTGTCAAAAGCGAACGTAAAAATGAAATATAAAAAAACAAAAACAATCTCAAAACAACGTTATACGAGATTTTGTAGTGATTAATTTTACATTCAAGTCGTAGCTTACATATACAACTGCGACAAGGTGATCCATATCCGTAAGACGGACAACTTTGTTCGTGCCCCATTGTTAATCCCATCAATTCAGGAACCATCAGGACCACTAGATTAGTACATGCCGCCACAGATAATTTTAGCAAACAACAGCGAACACCCATTTGAGTTATAATAGTAATTAGTCGTATAAATGAATATTACGTATGAGTCAATAAAATGGTCACATTATTAGCAAGATTAAGTAAATGGTGTTATAGTTTTCAAATTCGGACGTATCATGCAGTATGGCTCATTGCTATGCTCCTAATGAGGTAATCTTAACACCTAAGATGAGAATCACCAACCTAATCTCAAATATACCAAATATGTTTATCCTTCCTAATACATAGATCAATACTAACAAACTATTCAACACATCTTAAAATTATATCGGTACTATCCTTCCCTCGAATAATGCTCAACTAGTTTGACATAGTGTTTCGCATTGAAGAGTAAAAGCATATACTCACCTCTGCATGGATCGTTCTTAACTAGGAATTCGTCCAAAGCCACCCATCCTCCACCAACACGAACCATGACGGTACTTCTTAGAATTCGAACTAGTCTGAGTTTTTGACTTTCACCAAACTTTAAAATAAAAACATCAATATTGAAGTGCTGACAATACGACTAAGCCGTTATCATTGACTTGGTACTTACTCTGTACTTTCCTTCGCCAACTTGGAACACACGGAACTTTTGACGACTATAAACAAAACAGGATAAGATTATTAGTATTTCATCTTTCAAAGTTAATTAAACGAATATTTTTGCACATCTTTCTCCATACATTTGTTGCTCAATAAATTCTTGGTTTAGTAAACATAAAAAACTGAATTTAACATATCCTACCAAGTACACTTCATGACTTGTCTTTGGATTTCATCTTCAATGACATCGCCTTCGGACATGGGCTTTCGGTCCTCCCAGTCGGCGCGAAGGGCAGCAATGAATTCCATGTAATCAATCAAATGATCTGCAAAGAGAGTAGTGCAAAAGTTAGACGACTTTTTTTTCAGCCAAACCCGGCATTCAAAACATTATTCCACACTAGCCACCCCTCAAATAGAAAATAGCCAACCGCTTATAATAAGAAACTCTCTGATCAAACCTACCTCCATGGTCAAACATGTCCGCTACGGCATTCATCTCGAGACGGGAAGTTGGGAATTCTGTTGGGGAGGAAGGTTCAATAAATTTCTGAATACTAATAAATTGTAGAAGTACTATAACTAAATTACTTACTTGTCTTCATAATTGCATCAATAAATTCCTGTAAAACATAACAAATGAATTGTAATATTTCAGTTGTACTAAATCTTGCATGTCAACTAATAAGTAAATCATACTTCTCGAGGAATGAGATTGTCATTGTTTTTGTCAATTTTCCGGAACAAATCCATAACCTGTTGGGAATACGATTTTATGCACATTAATTGAATTAACTAGACCAGCCCAATTTAAATGGGTAGTAAACCAAATAGCATAAATCAAGTACTCACTCGGGATTTCTTGTTGTTCATAAATCGTAGGAACTACAATTATTAAAAAATCACTGGTATTATCATGTAGTTGTAAACTTTTTTTGTAAATTTCACTAGTACAGCATATTTATATGTTGTTATAAAAAAATGACCAACTTACGCGTTTCCTCCAGTCTTCCCAACTAAAGTTCTTAACCTTTTCAAGTTCTTGCAGATAGTTGAACTTATCTTGAAGTCGTCTTTGTCTGTAATTTTATATAAAAACAACAATCAAATAATGCAGCTACAGGGACGTGGTTATAGGTCCATGCTCAACGCTTGTCCTTATCAAAGGAAAGCGGAAGCATTTTTCTAATTCACAATTCGCTACCCCGAATTTTTACCTTTCCCAAGCCATCATCCAGACCACCTTCCATTTATCCCACAAGGCTTTTACGCGTGGGTTCTTGATTTGTGGCTCAACGGCTTTGCTGTAAGTTAGAAACGTGACAAAATGAATGCCTTTTCTGAATATAATCAATATACTATAATGTTAAATATTACTCATTTTGTACAATGACCGTAAACACCACATTAATACAAGAGCAGCTCAGTAACTAATGCTTATCTCGCCAATCAAATGTTTAGTCGGATAAATGTGTTATGATACGAATTTAAATAATTATAATTAATCAAAACTAACAGTCTCACTTAAATATAATTAATGAGTTTTATCATAAATCGTCTCCATAATATGTACATGACAAAAGCGGCCATAACCAAACCATAAGCAAGCAGAGAGTACAATAACCATTTCATTAAGCAACATTATTTTTTTTTCTGGGGAATGTATGTACCTTCCTCTGCGATCGAATCTTGGTCCAATGTGAGGGAACAAGTCTTCTCTGCCCGGACTATTGGGACGAGTGCATAAAAAAGTAGAGAAATATATAAAACAACACAATAAGAAATGACGTGCAAAAACATTTTCAAGCACATGCAATTGTGAGTGGATGGGATTGACAAGGATGAACAAGGAGTGGTGACAAGAAAGGGAAATTGAAGCACGCTCGTGAAAAACTGCGTCCCAAAAGCCAAGAACAAACCTTTCCATCCTTGACATGGGAGTAGACTCCCGTGATCCTCCAACCGTCTTAGCGCTGCCAAAGTGCAATGAAATAAAACTACTTTAAACCGGGTTGCATGCATTTCTATATGTCCGTAAATTAAACATAAAGCTATCCACTCATTTGTATTGTACAAAAGGATATTATGTACACCTGGGGACGGATAAGCAGAATTTGCGTATATGTGTATTTTAACACCAGCAATCAATTTAGTACACGAAAAGATAACGAAATTTCAAATTCGCTGCATTCAAATTGATATTCAAACAAAAACATGCAAACCTTAATCTACGTTGAGCGAAATCCAATTCAGGTGAAGCTTCACGACTTTCGCCGCTAAAATAATAATAATATAAAACATTTATTATCTGAGAAAGAAGATAATTTCATCCAACCAGTGTCAAACTTTGGTTGTAGTAAATAACAACAAAACACAATCCTAGCTTTAATAAAGCGTAATTTCATTAATAGAAATTTATTTGTGCTAGGATAGATTCATGCTTACCCTGGTGTTGTGCTACGAAGCCGAGGTCCAGGTTTTCCTTTAACCATGGGTTGTCTGCTGACCAATTTCGGCTTGCAAACAGCATCAATCTCAGGCTGTCGTGATGCCATACCTTCCATAAATCCTTTGTGTTCCTAATTAATGTTGCAATTACAAATGTCAATCAATTAGTACACAATAATTTGAGCAGGGAATAATTTGAGCTAGAAATAGGCAGTATACCTTAATCAGAACTAATATCTCAGCCATGTCGTCCGGAAGTGGTTCAGCTTCCAATTGAGTCAAAGTATCCTCACATTTCTTGTGCAAAAAAAAACATAATAATTACAATTGGCGTACTATTTTAAATTGAAGTAGTTTTGACTTTTGAATAACACAATAACACGTTGTACTCTAAAACTGTTACTTTCAGAGATCCAAATAAAATTTATCTATAATTTACAAACCTTGAGCCATGCCATCAACTCTTCCAACATTTCTTCCATTCCTCTCAGGGCATTCAAGTGAGCTTGAAGTTTTTGTTGACGTTGTACTGCCCACGATGAAATTTCGTCCCAACGCTTCAATGGAATAAAAACATGTCAGTATTTTGTGAAGGGTAACTAAATTTTAAATAGCTTAAGGTTGTGCTTACCGATTGAATGATAGAAATCCAGTGTTTGATGACAGGAATAGCGTCAGGGTGGGCTTTGGCTAAAATACTCTTGGCAAGTTCGATCGTCTCATCTTTTTCTCGTTCTTTCAACTTGAGTTCTTTCATAAATCTACACCAAATATTATCACGGCTTGTTAATAAATATTTATTTATGCATCAAGATATGAGTTTGTAGACAAATTTTGGTATAAAACAAGCAAAAGGACTCCTCTCCGATGGGGGAATGTGATACACCAAATTGAAGGGTTTTTCATGCTGATCAAGAATATATAAATTTTTTGACCGGCAAACATATATTAAGGTCACAAGTAAAGGTCAAAGGTCAAAATTTTTTATTGCATTTTTGGACGTTTCAGGGCATTCTAAGACTTTGTCTCACTTTCCCCCATGGCGGGAAATTTTTTGGGGTGACATGAGATTACTAGTTTTTGTTGTCGAATGTCGAATGCCGATCATTTTTCTACAAAGTGTAAAATTTTTGGGGCACTATGAGATTTGGGGCAAAGTGGACCATCGATTATCGTAATTGTGCCCAATATTGGGGTTTTGTTCGTTTCTAAGCGAGCGAAGCGAGCAGGTTAGGTTAGTTTAACTAGGTACGCGGAAAGCGTTGCTATTCCAGCTAGCAGTCCTAGCTAGCAATCCTAGCTAGCAGTCCTAGCTAGCAGTCCTAGCTAGCAATGCTACCTAGCAATCCTAGTTAGACACTAGAAATCTCGTGTCACCCCAAAAAATTTCCCGCCATGGGGGAAAGTGAGACAAAGTCTTAGAATGCCCTGAAACGTCCAAAAATGCAATAAAAAATTTTGACCTTTGACCTTTAATTGTGACCTTAATATACGTTTGCCGGTCAAAAAATTTATATATTCTTGATCAGCATGAAAAACCCTTCAATTTGGTGTATCACATTCCCCCATCGGAGAGGAGTCCTTTTGCTTGTATTGTTCCCAAATTTTAAACATACGCTTCTTGTTCATCCAAAAGACGTTTAGTAGTTTCCTCGTCTTCAGGTAGCTGACCTGCAAATCTACCAAATCACATAAAATAAGTTACAAGTACAGAAACATTTGCCAATTTCGGGGATGTTATTAGCACTAGCATTGTCGTATTAAATAAAAGTTGGATTTTGCAATTTTTTGCAATTACCTTAACTTCATTTCGGCATCAGATAGCCATTCCAGCAACATATGAACAGCTTTATGGAGCTTCTCGGCCTACAGAATAATATTTGTTTGTTTATTATGCAACTATTAAAGTATAGCTAATGTGCAGTAGTTGGATTCAAATAGTACGAAAACCAACCTCCTTAAGTGCTTCCTCTAAACGCCGAGATCTCGTCTCACATTTCTTTTTGATCTTATCGTAGGAAGTCTTAATTTCTTTGACTTGACTTTGAAGCTTTGCCTTCTCATCTGGCTGAGCTGTTTCCATCATCTCTTCAGCCGTTCGAATAATATCATTAATTTGAGATCGTCTGTTGTTCACTTCCTCTTCAATTTTCTGTGTATAAAACACGAATTTAAATTTAGTCATGGTTCAAAAGTAATTGCTAATGTTATGTAGAACAATTTATGACGTAATAAATGAAAATGAGGCTAAATTAAACTCACGGAATGAGCGTCAATCAAGGCAGTGACTGTGTCTAAATCACCATGAACTGGAAAAAATAATTATATTTAGTCATTTACCCTAATTATGAATCACGAATTGCACACCGTCAATTCCGAATTCTGACTTGGATTAAAATGCAATCAACTTAAGCGTACATAATTATGGGTATGTAACAATTAAATTAAGCATAACGATCTGCCACATACCTGGCCCATCGTCAACAATGAGGCGATCCATATCCTTCAGCCAGTCTAAAAGCTCTTGCAGGGCGTCCTATTTAGTACAATTTAGAGTTTTTTATATTCAGTAATATCAATAATAACGCACAGAAATAAAATACGGTAATGAAATATAAACCCACCTTGAATTGACCTGAAAACGATTTAAAAAAACACAAAATTAGAAGATCCATTTTCTAACTAGAAACATGACCGGTTAAGAAAGTACTAACCTGATCGAAGCAGGGCTTGCTCAAGATTTCGCTGCTTCTCAACACTCTTGTTGCAAATTGCATTCCATTTATTCTTCAAATCTGTTAGCACTGTAAACAAATTAAAACGATTGAGTTAAATTCCGCTCGGATCAATGCACTCTCTCCCGCCTGTTAACTTTTAACAACTTGGTTTTCATACTGTAGTGGTTTAAGGTACTTAATATTGGAATACAGTAAGCACAACAATTATTAACATTCCACCTCGTCGGCACGAGAGTCAATTATGATACAATCCCACATTTTTGCCGAGTTATAAAAAAAAATCTCGACAATGAAGGGAATAGTTTTTCCAGTACTCCGTACGTATAAAATTAAGTTCGAGTTAATTACATTTTATATTACATTTTTAAAAAACTTACTCTGCCTAAGAATTGGTTCATCGGGTTTAGGAGCCTTGTCCTTCAAGGTTTTTCCGTTCTTCATGGTTGAATCATAAGCAGGCTGTTTCGCAGCCAAAGCCCTTTGGAACTCTTTGTGTTTAGCCAGCATTTGCTTAATCTTCACAGGATTTTGACCTAAGGTAAACATAATTCTGATGACCTGTCTACACTTTCCTCCACGCTTATTAGACTTACCGGCGGTGGCAGTGATTTCTTCCAGGTTCTTGTCAGCCTCGTCCAACCAGTTCATAAGAGAAGTCCATGAATCGTGGAACTCCTTGGCCTCCTTGAAGCCAAGATCCAGCAGTCGAACTAGAAATAGAAACAGCAAAACTCTGCATTACAACTCGATCATAACATCTTATTTGTCTTATTACTATAATAATTTATATCTCTGCTCCGTGGTGTAATTAGGAAAAGATAAACTGCACTTACCACGTTCGGTGGATTTTGATACAACTCTGTCCCACCGATGTCTGCAAGTTAAGAAGTGAACGAGAATCGTTATCAGTTATTAGTTTGCAAATATTTTGATTACAGGAAATTACTTACTGGACAGAAATGAGCAAGTTCTTAATGAGGATGACGTCTTGCTTTTGGCTAAAGTATTTTAGATGGTTTCCTATAAAACATTATCCCACATTAGATTAACATTTTATGTTACAATTATAATCCGATATTGTGGTGCAGTTTTAGTGCATAAAATATGTCACATAATATTATCCAGAGCTTTTTAATTAAGAATAATTAATTAGTAATTAATAATTAGCGCTGACATCTTTAATCTAATTAATTATCAATTTTTAATTAGAGAGCTTCAACTAATTAATTATAATTACTAATTAATTACTTCTAAAAAAAGTAATTAATTACTTCTCGAAAAATAATTAATTAGTTAAAAAAAGAATTGTTTTCAACGCAAATTTACAAGCTACAATATAAAATTACGGACGGCAGAAATAATTACCGGCAACTCAAATTTATAATAATCGTTACATTTTAACATCGCCCATATTTCGGATACATTTATGTATCCTTTAATTGATGGAATGATTATAATCAGTCCATCAAGTAAAGTTCAACTGGAGCTGATGATGGTATTTGAGTATTGACATTGTTAGTTTGTTAAGATTTTCATATTAATTTTTGAGAATATCGTCTTCCATTATTGGCACTTATATACTTTACAGTATGCAGTTATTTATTGTAACAAAGTTGAAATTATTGCATGAAATTTAATTATGAGGGCTTGAAAATAAGTCATGTAGAATAGGAGAGTTGCCAGATTAAAAAACGCCACTTTACCTGGGAAAACGAAACAGCGCAAACCAGATAAATCTCAAAAATTAAGTAATTAATTAGTTAATTAATTAATTGGTTAAAATATCACGAAACTAATTAATTATAATTGACTCAGTTTAATTACTCTAGTAAGGTAATTAAAACTAATTTATAATTGTTAATTAGCTGAAAATTGGTAATTAATTAGCAAATTAATTGATTTCACTAATTAATTAAAAAGCTCTGATATTATCATATAATAAGTGTAACTCGTACCTTTCTTTTCCAAGTTCAGCATCACCTCCCTGTGTGCTGAGACTTCTTTCTGGAACTCCTTGTGACTTTCTACTTGTTCCACAACTTTGTCCAGCACACGCGACACGGGCTCCAATCCAGTGAGATAGCGTTCTGCTTCAGTCAACCAATCAATGAAATCTTGGCAAGCCTTATGGAACTCCATTGCCTCTTTCAAGGCGATTTCAAGCTTGATCTTCTTGTCGTTGGCTCGATTCATTACAGACTCCCAACGTTGACGCAGAGTTCGAAGATTGTGTTGCAGATTGGTAGCGGAGCCTTCAGTGGACTTCTTTAAATATTCTTGCCCTTGGTGCAAGATTGCTTCGACTTTAGGTCGATTAGCTACACACAGTCGATGAAATAATATTTAAATATGCACCTCTCGGTTTAATTTGGTTATACTTTCGTATTCATGCATAATACATACCTTCAAGTTCATTAAAAATTTCCATGAATCGGTTCAGTTGTTCTTGTGCAGTTTCTGGTAAGCCACCAACCTGCATATTTAAAAAGTTATATTATTTGATGCACCACAACTTTGAACAATATGTAACAGGAGCATTTCACATACCGGTTTGGATGTGTTAAGGGCAGCATCCACGTCATTCAGCCACATTAATAAATCTTGAATTTCAGCGTTAAAAGCCTAAAAGTGATGATACAATATATTGAAGAGCATTATTATTTTTGTAAAAGTTTGTCCAAAACTTTTTTTTAATAAATATTAACTAACCTGAGCCTCACGTAAGGCATCCTCTAGTTCTTTTTGTCTAAAAAAACATTGTTAAAAGGTTGTGTAAAATTATCTCGAACGTATTTATAACGACTAACCACAATTGATATAATAAAAAAATGTGATACCTGTCGTTAGCCTTCTTCTGCAGGTCGGCCCATTTTTTATTCATGTCTGTAAAATATGCGATATTTATTACGATTGTGATTCATAACTTGATGCAGCGAACTGCATCCACTGACTTGCTCATAAAGTGCTTGTAAATGGTTAAATCAGACCATTCAGATATATTACCATTAAGCTTTTGTTGAATTTTTGCAGCATTGTCCGATCCACGTTCTGACTCAATTATTTGTCGGCCCGCATCATTTAAGGTGTCCACTGATACTTGATGGGCTTGGATGTCATTGACCAAAACCTGGACAAATAAAAGAAATAAACCCTCCAAACGAATGTAAATAAGTAGCGTCAGAGCGATTCAAGTTTCCTTTAGCGTTTCCGTATATGACCTCGTCCTAACTCTCATGAGGTCAAAAATATTAATGTCCTTGATATCCCCGTCAAATTTCCTTTAAAATGACACCCCATATGACAATGAAGTATCTTTTTGACCTGTGACCTCGTCCACAAGGTCACGAGGTCAAAAATATTAACGTCATTGAAATCGCGGTCAAATTTCCTTTAAAATGATACCCCATATGAAAATTAAGTGTTTTCTGACCTCTGACCTCCTCCACAAGGTCATAAGGTCAAAAATATTAGTGTCCTTGATATCCCCGTCAAATTTCCTTTAAAAGGACACCCCATATGACAATTAAGTATCTTTTTGACCTGTGACCTCGTCCACAAGGTCATGAGGTCAAAAATATTAACGTCATTGAAATCGCGGTCAAATTTCCTTTAAAATGATACCCCATATGAAAATTAACGTGAATTTAATTTTGGACCACACCCCCTGGCGATGTGGGGGGTGGTCCGATTGACCCCATTTTCGAACTCGGCCGAGAACTAAAAATTAGAAGTACAATGGCGAAAACCGCTTTTGATTATGTTGAGGCATTCTAAAGATATCCTGCTTACGGACGGACGGACGGACGGACAGACGGACAAAGTGATCACAATAAGTAGCTGACGCTACTTAATAATCACATAGTCTGGTAAATAATTTTTTGAACTTGATTAGTATTAATCAATGTTTACCTTGAGTTTAGCTAACTCTATTTCAATAACTTGAGGGTCACCATATACTGGTTTTAGTGTATCCAGATTTTTGTTTGTTTTTTCCATCCATGCCATCAATTCTGTCGACGAAAGTATGGTTAATTATTATCAGGATTTCTCAACAATTATTATGTGTTAAGAAAATATACCATTGAGAGCATGCTGGAACTGGCCAAGTCTCAAGAGAGCATTTTCTAATTCTCGTTGACGATCCACAATGCCCTTGAGCAGGTCATCCCATCGCCTGTTAACTTGTGCTAGAGGTCCTTTGATTTTGGCAGCTTGGTCAGGAGATGTTCTTTCAGTAAGTTCTTGCGCTTGCCTGTACACAATTCATATTATTAGTAAAAATTCGGAATGTTATATGAATGCAATTTTGTCATACAATAAAGCGACACACAATCTACCTACATATATGCATACAATCCACACACTTATAAACACAGGCAAACGATTAAATTTGTATGCATGCTGCAAAGAAACTTTTGCAATACAAAAATATATAGCTATGAACAAAAGGACCATCAGAAACAGTAGTCGACAAAGTCCACAGAATGACAATACTTAAAACCAACTGACATTGCCAACTTTTTGTGTACACTTAAATTTGAATAATTACTTGCCTCCTTAATGTCCTATACATATTTCCACAATTGTTTTACATATTGTAAATCGTTCACGGTTGAAATGCATGGCAAGAATTTTAAAAGACAAGATTGGAATTAGCATTTTGCACTTGAATGTATCAAAATCGTTAATGCTTTGAATTTTCGTCAATCTTGAGAAAATCTACATAGAAAATAACGTACAAGACGGACCTGTTCAATGCCTCAACTTTCACCATCATGGGATCAACGTCTCCCTTGAAGTCCTTTAGTTCCTTGATTTGTTTCTTGACGGCTTCAATATCAGCCCCAATCACGCCAAAACCAGCTAGACGGGCCTCAGCCTTGTCGAGGAAACGCAACAATTCCTGAAAATAATGATAAAATAACATCCTATAGATATGCTCAACTGTTCCAACAACTAAACACCGGGCATTCACTGGAGTCTTATATTTTAAATATTTTAAAAAATATACCTGGAGCGTCTCATGGAACTCCATTGCCTTTTCCTAGAAATTTAGACATGATTGTTAGGAATGTTATTCATACATTTAATTCCGACTATCATAACGGACTAACCATTGCATCGATAAGATTTTCTTCTCGCTTTGCAAACAAAGCAGTAATGTTATCCCATGCCTGGAGAATGAATAATAATTAATTAATCGAAGACTAAACAAATAAACTAAACAAATATATTTTACAAAAATGAGCAAGTGCATAATGAGGAGAATCTCTTGCAAGGGAGTTCTTAGAACTTCGAAAACCAATGATTCGGCTTGTTTTTTATGCACATAATCATTCCTGTATTTTTTTGGTAATAAATTACCGCATCTAGCTCGTGTATATTCTTTGAAATCTCGGGTTTATCCTGCTCCCCTACAACTTGTAATAGTTTTTGTCCGGACTGCCGACAGTTGTTGACTTCGGGCTTAACTTTTTCAATATCTTTCTTGATTTCTTTGAGTGCCTCTTGTTGTTTCTGAATAGCTTTCGGTTCCACAGCAGGAGGCTCTTGGTTCTTTAAAGTTTCTGAGAGAATATCTGAAAATACAAATTGAGAATTATTACTTGTAGCTAAATTAGTAATTATACAGATATGACAGTGGATATGCAAAATTGACAATCTTACCAAGTTTGTCTAAGATGGCTTGAAGCTGTTCCCAGAATTTTTCTGCTAGGGCCTGATAATACAAAATTATATAAGTTAGATGCAAAACAAACTACACTAAACTAAAACTGCACAGAGTGAAAGAGAATTTTTTTAGGTATTATATATGCATACGTGCTGTCGCACGCAGCAAAGATCACTGCACATGGGATCTTCAAATTATCAAGATGATTTAGTGTTTAATAATGCTTACCAGAGCTTCGTCCAAGTTCTTTCCACGTTGTTTCGTGAGTCTAGAAAAAAATAGTTCGTAATGGTCAGGCTTTTACATGGTGATCAATTCTATACATTACGCGCAACAATCACAACATACTTTTGAATCTGATCCCACAAACTATTCAGTCTGTCAAGTTTTTGCTTAATGTCTCGAACAGCAGGATCGTTCTTGTTTGGTGCTTTATCTATTATGTCAGCCGCTTGCTTTTTGACCGAATTGAAGGCGTCTTCGCGTTTCTTCACGTCATCCTAAAAAAGAGTTCATTAAGGCCTTGTGTAAAATATTGTATGTATGAATTTCGTGTAAGTCCATTGAATTTAACGTACAATGATGGCATCATTATCTCCGATTTGATCTCTTATTTTCTCAGGATGGGCAGAGATTGGTTCAGCGTTTTTACATTGATCAGCTAAAAAATATTAATCGCCTTTGTTACTGTTGTCTGTCATCTAATGTTAAAGCATATATAATCTACTGTATGAACATATAGGTTACCAGTGTTTTCTAATGCGTTCAACATGCCATCCAATTTATCCTTGAACTGACTTGTTTCCTGCACAAAAATAATGTTTTAATACGATAATCAGTGCATATAATCGAATATGAAAATCACTATTAAATAATTTTAATCTAACGCAAGGCATACAACAAACCTGCAAAGCCTTCTCAAGTGCCTGTTGCTTATCCCTCAGTGCAACGCGAAGAGCGTTGTATCTCTCATTGTCCGCATGCATGATTTCATCCACTACAAAATAAATTTGTTAAACTCATGGCATTTGTTATTATTTTTTGGTATGCATAAAATTTTCTTACCCTTTCCAGCATCGTCATTATTACACAACTTAATCAACGCACCTCCTAAAACAGAAAACGATTTGTACTTTAAGAATTTGGAGGTTTAATTAAAATTTTGTCTTGTCCTGCTTTCTAATTCATCATTAAGTATCCATTTTATCTATGACTAACGTAGTTGCGGGCAATACAGTATTGATATTATCTGTTAACACATGTATTAAAATGTAATCACCAGTTTTGTTGAGCTTATCAAGCAACGGTTTATGCTCAGTTAAGGACTGAATGAAGGCTTGAGTTTTTTCTTGCAATTTCACAATTTGATCAGGGCGCAAAGCTGGAGTGTCTAAAATGCTTATTTCATCTTCCATTGCATCTGAAAAAATCATGTACAATGTCAATTTATGTGATAAGCGTTAGGCACACACATGTAGCATTGTTGTTGACTAACCCATCCATTGGTTCAAGTCGATGTGCGTGTCAAAAAAGTGTTCAGCAAGTGGGAGTGCTTGTTCCAATGCATTGAGTCGGTCGCTGGAAAGCTTGGACACCGTCTCCATCGTCTCTTTAAGATCTTCTGCTTTCTCTCTGAGAGTAGCAGTATCCTCCCCTTGAGTTGCTTCTCGTAAAACTTTCTTGGCAGTAGCAAGTACTTCTCGAACACGACCTTTCTGGCTGTTAATTTCATCGTTGAGGGTCCGGTGTTCTTGCAGTTGAACTAATAGAAATGGAATTTGTGAACGTCAGTAATGGCAGCAATAGTTTTAAGTACACGAGTAACGATTAATTGATTACCTCTCACAACGTCAGGTTCACAACTAGGTTTCTCCGCATCGCGCAATTGACCTTCAATTTCCCTGAACCAATCAAGCAAGTCATCAATGTCGCTAAGAACTTCCATACTCCTCTGAAACATGAAAACCAACATTTAATTTTTCACAGAAACACTATATGCATGCACAAATTAAAAATTCAACATACCGCTTTCGCCATTTGAATTCTTTCTGCTCTTCGCTGAACTTGTTCGCATATTGCATCGAATCTGCGATTATCTCGAGTGACGAGCCCTTCAATTGTCGACGCTCTAGAATGTTTACATAACGAAAAGGTTATTTAAAGAAGTAAGAACAAATGTAAATCTAAATAGACAGCAAAAAGTTACCCTTCCCCTGGAGAAAGCTGACAAAGCTGTGGGCCTACGAGGTTAATGATCTCTAAAACTTTTCGTTGTTCTACAATTTCAGCTTCCAGTCGAACAATGACTTTCTCTTGTGCAATAAGATTTGAGTTGTCTAAGCCCTTTAGAATGTTTTCGGCTTCTGCCATCCAGTCTGATAGATTCAAGTGACACTCGTGGAATTGAGTTACCAATGGCAGTGCTTCCTGTGCAGTTTTAAGCAGATCTGCAGCCTTGGTTGTGATATTGTGGAAACGACGCTGGAGAGAATCCAACTTATCCTAAGAAAAAAGGACAAAAACAGTTAGTAACTATTTTTCTTTATAAAGATTAATTTCTTGGGCAAATAAATTCACCTTCAGTTGAATCGCCTCATCATTGGAAATGTTCTTCATGAGGTCTAAACCAGCTTCGACGGTGTCATCAACCTGTTTTTCTCGGTCTTTAATCTCCTCAGTAATTGTTGCTAGCTGCTGCATTTGCTCTATAAGTTTATCCTTGTGGACGGCAACCACTTTGTACTTCGCAAGCCGTTTCTCTACAGTGTCCATCCAAGCAACCAGCTCTTCATATGACAAAACAAGGTTTCGAAGTCCTGCTTTAGCCTGACGAAGCAGATTACCAAGACCTTCCGACTCTTCAATCAATCTGCCATATCGATCAGTTAGATCTTGAAGACTGTCTGCAACACCAGCCGCATCTTCATCGCCCACCAAATTCATAAGTGTTTGTGCAAGTTCCGCAAGTTCACTGAAGTCTGGCTGTTTTTTTAGCAGCCCATCGTGAAAGGCATCATGTTCTTTTATTCTTCTCGCGATTTTGTCTTCGTCAGTTGGAATGAGAGACATGTCCTTCAACTTCTTGCCTTGCTTATCTAGCCAGTCGGATAGAGGTCCAAATTTGTCCAAGAATGCCTTAGCTACTTTCATCACATCTTCTAATAGTCCCTGCCTATCCCTTGCGCCGTCACAGAGGTTGCCATATCTGTCCTTCATGTTATTCATTTGTCCCTCAATTTCGTGTTTCTCAGCAGGATCAGCATTTGCAGCTATTTCCTTGCCCTTTAAATAGTAAAATGAGTTTTTAATGTTAATTAATATTTTCTGTAATTAGATGAATAGAGCATGTGCTTACTAACCATTTGAAACAAGGATGTGACGGACGGTTGTCGGTCCAACAACATTTTGTTCTGTGGTTGAAAATAATATAAACGATTATTAACACTTTATCACTTTCTCATTTTCATAACTTTTGTAATATCATCATCTCTCTTACCAAAAACTTTTGTTCTTGAAGTTGAGCTAGAAAGAACAAAATGGTAATGATCAGATTAAGTACATTCAGTAATTCATAAAATGGGGTTTGAATAATAATTGATTAATTTACGTGTGATAAATCAGCTTCATATTTTGCATTGTTAACTACGATATAAAGATTCATTGCATACCTTTAACCACTTTAGCATCTGCAGAGGGTGGCTTTTGGTTTGCTACCAGGTCTTCCATTTCACTTAACCATTTGTCCAAACCTATAATGATCATTCAAGTCGTAATTTTTTATTGGTTCTTGCAAGGATATTCAAAGTTTAAAAAACTATAAGTTGTTGTTGAGTAAACACATTTCTTACCATCTAAAGCTTCTTTAAACTTGCCAGATTGAAGCAGTGCAACATCCAGTTTGCGTTCTTGCTCATTGATCTAGCAAAACACAAGAAAGGACAGAAGTTTAAGTCACAAAAATAATAAATATTGTTGATCATCACCACTAACTGTCTCCCTTCTACTCATATGTTTGCGTATGTAATATAATTTATTATGCTTACTCTTTCTTTCAGAGCATTCCATTTGTCGTTCATTTTTTCCAAATCTTTTTCAAGACCGGATGTGTTGACCCCACTGGATGCAGACTGGATCCTGTAGAATATAAATAATTAAGTTATTTTAGAAATATAAGCTAATAATATGAATTAATTATGATTTTTTTAATGAATAGAATTTCAACATCAACTCACAGTCCTTGTCCCGTTTTGTTGCACTCTTCAACCTTTTTCGCTACAGCGTCAACATAACGCGTTCGAAATTCTTTAAATTGGGCTTGTTGAGCTCGTATGCTGGCAACATCACCGCCTACCGTTTTGCTAAACGACTTTTCTTGTTGAATCAAATCATCAATCATGTCGTCCGTGCTATTGTACAGATCATAAAATCCTTCCAGTCTAGCTAGTGTTTTCTGCAGCTCGGAATCGCGTTGTTTGGATTTATCTTCTAATTTAGCCAAGAGCTTACGAAGCCCATCTATTTGATCTTTCATGCCTTTAGGATCTGCTGCAACACCTTGTCTGATAAGTTCCTCAAGTGCAGATGCTGCGCCAGCTAAATCTGCTTTCTTGTCTTCTAACTTCTCACGGAAGACTTCAATTTCATGAATTTGTGATTTTACAGTTGGAATGTCGCGTCCAATGGGCTTCATTGCATTCAGTTCATTCTCTAAATCGCCAATATCAGCACTTAAGCCTTTCATTAGATTCTTAAACTCTTCCATAGCTCTTTGTGCTGATTCGGCTTGATTGAATCGGTCGCCCAATTTTGAATTCAAATTGTCAAATCTATCCATCAAATCGTCAACCGCATCTCTAATGTGAGCATCGTCACAATTATTGCGGTTTGCATCAATTGAAAGGCCTTCCCCTTGCTGTCGCACCTACAAACACGTACATTAATAGAAAAAATATCGACATTTACACAACGTTCAAAATCTGCAATCAGTAGTAATCACTAATCACGATAAAGAAACCTACATTATCCAATGGTTTCTCCAATTTTCGAACTTCGTCCTGTATGGCTTTGATTCGTTGGAGTAGTTTGGGGTCTTTGGCAGCATCTCCCATAGAGTCGTGTGATGCAAGTTTATCGTCACATCGGTTTAGGGCATTCTTTAGATCCCTACAATCTGTGAATTTATACAAACGATTCTAGAGTTAGATTTTTTCCTCAAATGTATGTACATAAAAAGTCAATAGAGTATTATTAATCCATCGGACAATAAAATCTATTCGATTTAGAAAGTTATTCACGTCTTACCCTCGTTAAATGCATTGAGCTTTGCAGCCGCATCTTCCAATTCCTGGATTTTTGCAAGAATTGCATTGTTCAATGCTTCCCATCGTTGTTTCATTTCTTGAAGTTCGTTCTTTACTCCATCCTTGTCCTTGTCGCAAGCACCAACAAAAGTTTCCCTTTGAACAATAGAACGAAAATTCAATTTTATTCTGGTCACGGTTACTGAACTGTGTATAATGTAAATGATTGTTATAGAGTCGGGGGACAAGATTGTGTCTAATGTGCACACAATCATCTCTGTTCCAATCGTTTTTTATGCATGTACAACATTTTACTTATAAACATTGTTGTCCTTATATTATGGTAACAAAGTGACAAGATTCTTACCCAAACCCTCTTGTAGACTCGTATTCGCCACTATGACGCCATAAATCATTTTTAAAGCCGTTGACTTCCTTCAAGAGTTTATCAATGTCAGGCTTCTTGTATGATGTTAGTCGGAACTTTTCGAATTTGTCTTCGGCCCCAGCGAGCCAGTTGAGGAAGGGTTCCCGAGTCTTGTCATATTTTTTACAGTGTTCATTGCAAGTTTGCAGACGATTGTGTCTATCCACAGCTTCCTTCTTTAACTTGTCCCATCCCTTCTGAACTTTCTCCATGTTTGTCTGAATAGTGCGTTGTTCTGGTTTTCTGGTACTTTTAGCCATCAATTCTTTGCCCTTATTCAGGGTCATTATAATCTCGTGCTCCTTGCTCATGATTTGCTTATAAATTGGTTCAAATTCACCAACTTGTCCCCGAAGAATATCTCGATCTGCAGAGACGAGCAATTTGTCTGATAGGTGGGAGAGCATGTCTGCAAGCCAGTCTTGGGCTGAAAGAAATGCAGAAGAATGCATGTTTTAGTGAATCATATTTCTAAATGATATTTATTTCTGAAAGACTTACCAGCTTCACAGGCATCGTTGAAATCAATGACGTCTTTCTTTGAATTTTCCAACTCGGCCTTGCAGTTGTCTAGTTTCTTCTGACATTGGTTGAACAATCGCCCAACTTGAGCCAATTTTTGCTTAATGTCAGCCTTTGCACCTGGGTCTTGTAATATGTCGCATAGCTCGGCCCCTGCCGCCTCAACGTCAGCCAAAATGGGTCGTTGACTGTTAAGGTTTCTCTCGATAGCTTCCAACTTTTTGAGCATTTCTTCTGGGTCACCCTTGTCAGCAATCAAATCATCCAGATCATCACTGAGGGAATACAAATATCCAAATTAGTACAACAAAATGTGCATTATACTACGCATTAATGTACTCTTTACCTGATTTTGTGAAGGTTGTCTTGCAACTTATTGAGATTGTTAAAGAAATCTTGACTAGCATTTGAAGCAGCATCTAAATTGCCTTCTCTTTCATCCAGTTTGTGCAAGAGATCATTCCATCGTTGGTTGATAGAAGCTGAAATATATACAATATTGTGGTGAACATTGAGCACTGATAAAAAATATTCACACTAAACAGAACATACTAGCAAACAAACATTAGACTAATTGTAAGTGGCTTCAACATGTTGGATATATTACCCAATTTGTCTTCTATTTTGCGACCGTCTGGAGAGTCAGGGCTTGTTTGAGTCAAAATATTGTCCCCAGCATTATTAAAGCTATCGAGGATCGGCTTTTGATTCCGGAACTCATCACGCATAACTTGCACTTGTTGCATTTGACTTTGTACCATGCGCGGATCCTGTTGGGTTAATAATTAATTACGCCTTTCATTAGTATTATAACTTTCATTAATGTAAAAAAAATTAACGAACCGATGAGATCGGACCCAATACGGCCAACATCTTATCCTTGGCATTCAACCACCCGTGTAAGTTGTCGTGAGAATCATGGAATTCCTAAAAACAATTAGAACCATATCATTATCAGAAATTGCAAACTGAGCCAACGTAAACGAGTACTAATTGAATTTGAATATGCATACCTTAATATGTTCTAAGAATCCAACACGTCGTTTGCACTTGTCTTGAAGATCTTTCCATCGTTGGCTAATTCCATCAAATGCGTCCTTCAATGATTCAGCTCCGGGAACATTAGGTTTTCGTCGAAGTAGGTCGGTGATAAGCGTTCTAGTATTGTCCAGCATTCCTTGTTTATCATACATATCCTCCAATATAGATTTTATTGTCTTCAACATCTTGTCAGCTTCGTCCCTTGACTAGAAAGAAATTATAGTGAATATAACGGGCAATAACTCGTCAAATAGCTTACGATCAGATATATATAACCAAAAACTGAAAAATTATTTACTTGTGGAATGGCGTCTTTGGGGAGTGAGCGCTCAGTTTTATCCAGAAATTGAGCCAAGGCCTTCAAGTTGTCCGCAATTTTTCTGACTTCCTCTCGCGTGGAATCAAGCTCAGTTTGTCTGTCGGTCAATTTCATACCAATCAAATTATATCGATGATTAATTTCATTCAACTGTTGTTGAACTGGACTGGAATCTTCCAAATTGAGGAATCCTTCTTGACTGGATCGACGACTGCCAAATCCACTGGATCCGCTGGGCGACATTGGACTGCGGTCCACTCCAAGAGTTTTAGATGGTGAGGGACTTCGAGTGTCCGTGGATCGCATGCTAGGTCGCTTGACAGGGCTGGAAACTTTACGACGAGGACTGTCGGATCGATCACCCCTTGTTAGGGCATCGTATGCGTTGCCAAGTTCGTTGACTTTGTCAATTGTAGGATTGTAATCCCGATGTTCTTTGACAAGTGGTTTGAGTTCGATTTCTTGCTGCTTAATCAATTCGACATCAACAGCAACTGATTGGAAACTATTCACTGTAAATAATAAGTAAATAATACTTTTAATCATTGATATTGAAGCAATAACATATGTATTTATATTCACAATGGTTTATGACTACAAGAAGGACTCAAGTATACGAATATACAATACTTGTGCACAGCCCTCCTGACTTTACTTGGAATATAAACCTACCTCGACTTTCCATGCTCGTCAACCATTTTTGGACCTGGTCTCTCAACTTTTCATACGCATTCAAAGCCTCAACTCTGGTCTTTCCCAATTTGCTCTTTTCATCAAGAGAACCTGTCAGGTCTGCAAATTAAAGTCATAAATTAGTCAAAGTTGTCGTATATTTACTACCACTGCTGTGTAGACGGCAAAACGGTTCGATTTGACTGTCACCATTACTTGATTTTGCTATATTTCATAATAGATTTAATTGTCATTAAGTTTACGTACCTCGCCATTGATTTTCAAGTGCCTATACAAAAAATAAAACGTATTTGAAAACGATCCAAAGAATTAGCTCGTTTAAAATAAGCACAAAATAGTATATGAGAAAATCATTCTTTACTTTGATCTTATCTTTCACGGGACTGGTATCGGTCACATCCTTTTTAGACACGAGAGATTTTCCAGATGAAATTGTTTCATCGAAATCATGTTTCTTGCTATCTTTGCGTCTCATGAGTTCATCCAATTTGGCCATGGCATCGTCTCCGGTCAATCGAGTTTCAAGAGTTTCAAACATTTCGCTGAACCAATTTTCAAAGTGATTAGCATTCAATAAGAAGCTGTCCAAATGAGTAGATACCTGTGGAATCGAGTCCAAAGTTAAATTTCATGATATTGTATATATTTTCTTCCCAAATGGAAAGGCATGTAATGTTACAGCGTTTACAACAGATTTATAGTGTTGTGTTTCACTTCAAGCTCGCGTTTTAGATTACATAAGAAAAACTAAAGCTCACTTCATGAAGGAAAACAGATCGCTGAACCAATTTTTCTACAAGTTTTTCATAGCGTGAAAGTACATCCTTCAGTTTGGCCTCCACCTTCTTGGAGACTGTCGCATTCCGAGTACGCAATAAATCATCGGCAGATCTTGCCATACTTTCGATGCTAGGACGATGGGAGTCGATGTCAGCTTGCAACATTTTAACTTCTCTAATTTGTTCGTCAAGCCGCTCCCGGATAAGACTGGCTGGCTTGTTGATATTCCTGAAATTACGTTACGTTCAAATTAATTGCGAATTCAAATATAAAGAACTTGACAGTGGTGGTATCTATAATACTTTAACTGGTACTCGGCTTGTGTTAGCCAGTTGGACACTCCTTCAACAGCGTCTTGCAGACCCTGGCTCTGAACTAAAGCAGTGTCCAAATCCTTAATTTTGTCCCCAACAGCATCCAATAGGTTTTTATATTTCGATTCCAACTCAGATGTTGTTCGTTCAACAGCATCTCTTTCACTCGGTGACAACTCTTCCATACTGTTGAGCAAGTTATTTGTAGCCTGTCGAACGGCTTCAATAAGTTTTCCATTGGAAAGAATTTCGCTCTGCAATGCTTTCGCACGACTAAGTTGATCTGAAATTATTTAATGGCAAGACTTATTAGTTTTAAAATTTGCTAATTTATAACTCAAAGTTGGTTTGTTTTGTTGGATGAATATATAAAAAAATAATTTTTATTACCTTCCACTAGTCGTGGCTCTCCAGCAATTGGTTCCGACAAGACCTTTTGCACTCTAGGCGTCACTTCCTTCAGCCAGGCCTAAAGTGAAATTAAATGAATGGGTTTGTTATAGTAAAACCTTCTCATATTTCTTATTCGTGTAATGATTGTTTTCATACCATGGCTTTGTTGAGTGCATCTTGGAAATCTTTTTGTTTGTTGCCCAATTGAGATAACTAGAATATATTTAAAGCAAAGAAAGTGAGATTAGGGACACCTACAAACCAATATTTTTCAATATTTTGAACCAAAACCTTATCAAATAGACGATTTGCTCGAGCAAGCAGATCTTGATACACTGTGGTGATTTGAGTCACTTCATGTTTAATTGACGATTCTTTGACCTCGAGGTAAGGCAGTCGTTGGGGTAAATTTGTACGGAATGTGTTTAGAGTTTGTAAATATTCCTATATACAAATCAGTGTTAAATTAATATTGTACACTAATCATTATTTAATTATAAACCAATAATGATCTTCTACTTACTCTGGATTCCTCAATGAACTTTTGAGCAGACATTGTAATAAAACCTATAAATAAATACGATCATATAATTAACTGAACAGTCAAGAAATAAAATTACTAATTTATATATCTTACGTAGGTCGCCTTGATGGGCAATAACATCGCTGACAAATTCTTTTGTGTTGTCGCGACCACTCGCGCTCAAATTACTCAGGTTTCGTTCCTTTTCTTCCAAGGTTCGAATTGATTTATCTAAAACCATTTAACATCGCATAATGTTATTAAATGTCATCTATCATACGTATATATCATTTATGTAACAATATATGAATTCAATAAATTAAAAAGTTAGGTTACTTACCCATCCAGGTTTTGAAGGTGGAAACTTCGGCCCTAATGTACAAATAACAAATTATGAACCACACTCAACATGTTACTTCAGATTGGTAAATGCTTATATACTTGTATTTCTTCAGTTCGTCTGAAGCTGTGGTGAGTTGTCGGAATAAACTCTCAGAGTAATTTGAAACGCAATCGAATCGTGTTTTCAAAATCTTTCCATTCTTCTCCAGTGTATTGATCTCTTCACTGGAAAGGACGTCCCCACCTAATAATGAGGGCATTTTATTTTAAATTTTCCTATGCATTTATTTGTTGATGCAAATATGTTATTGGCAAGAGTTTCAAACTCACCAGTGGCCACGAGATGTCTAACTTGATCCAGACAAGTTAAAACCATTTGACTGTGATCCTCCACATCATCTCGAATTTGCTACAAGAGTAATTAATCCATTTTTATTTTTAGTAAACCCCACAAGATTCGTGATAAATTTCGCTTCCTACTTTGACGGTCATGGTTTGCTTCTTTATTTCTTCGACAGTTTCTCGCAGACTCTCTTGACTTGCCAGTCTCCTCTCAATATCGTTCAACCAGTTGGTCAGGTTATTTATGGTAGCGTCACATTGGGCGTACTGGGCTTCGATAGCCAGCTGAAAACCCATACAACAATTGTTAGACGATTCTTTACAAAAATGATAAGCCCCAATTCCACAGCCAAAACATTCAAACATAGCCAACCGCGCAATAATAATAATATAATAAGTAATTGCAGACATCACATTATTCTATTCAAACCGTTTGTTTAACTTGTGAAAGCGTTGCATATACCAAAATATTATATAACGCTGCCATGCAGTGACTACTAAATACACTACCAGTAACACACAGTAGCATATAATCTTTGTCGTCACTCAAAGTCGTACTTTCTTCATTTCAAATAACACCAATATCAAACACACGCATATATTTATCCAATTTATCAAATGTTGAAATATTTCACCAGATCATTGCGTTAGTTAAACCAAGCTTTCGTTTTCTGTTGGTCAGTTGTTATTCCGTTAACGTACGTAGAAAACCAAATCAATAAATTAAAATATTACACAGGATTTCTTGAATGCTAGTGATTTGTATTTAGTTTTGACTTGTTGCACAGGGGTCAGTCCCCGCAGTATTTTAAAAAATACAAACTTGTGGATATGTCCGTGTAATGTGGACTATAAAGTCATCGGTGGGTGTGTAGTGTGTATAACAACAGATCATGCAGAAGCCATGAAAGCCATATCGAACTAGCCAATCATGTTGTATTAGGTTTGGTCATTTGCAATACAAATTTGAAATCGTGAAGTGAAAATGTGGATATTTTTTACACCAATAAATAAGTGGTACTCCAGAGTCAGTCACACAATGGCTCATCACCAATAAAGTGCCCATGCGATGTTGGCACTTTTGTTAATACAGCATTGTCCTCAGCAGTATCTTTTTGTGCAAAAGTCGGGCATATTATTAAAGCGGATAATAATTGTTTCAAAATTCAGCACCTCACACACACACACGTTTATCATCTGAAGTGCTCAGATTTCAAAACCAAACAAAGTGTGTGCATTAAGTATAACAACAAACATTCCCCAAGCGGAATAAAATGGAAACGGAACAAATGTATGAACGCCAGTCCAAAACGAATGAAGCTTTTTTTCAACCCATGTGAAAAGTCAAAACCCAATTAAAAATAGCTTCACGTCTCCTTGTGGACCTTACCCTTGCCTCTGCCGGCAACAACCATCCCCGTTTCCACGCGTCCAAAAGATTGTGACGAGTACCAGTGGAAGTGTCTAAAAAGTACCCCGACTCCCCATCAACAATGTTCGCAGCAATGGCTTCACTAAGTGGAAGAATTTTCCCACTCGATGGTGCTTTCACCATTGTGGTACTCTGTTCAATAAGGTTTTTCGCAATGCACTGATTCAAACTCAATTTACAATCACCAGCTTCAGTGTATGGATCGGAAAATTTCCCACTGACTGGGTCATACATGGAAAAGTCTAAGGCCTCCAAAAGTCCGAAGGGGTTTCGTGGGGTAAGTAAAAGACCGGAAGCTATGGCTTGTTCCAGGGGAATGGCGTGATTTGTAGCAGTGTCAATCACAGTTGAGCTGTTGGGGTCAATAAGAGCTGCGTTGAATGCATCTGAAAGCTTTAGTAGACGTTTCTTTAAAGTGTCCTTGATCACAGCAGAGTTGGGGTTAATTGCATGAATGTCGATGGCTTCTTTTATGGTCATTGGCAATGTGTCACTTGCGTTGGGATCTATAAATTTCCCCGTTTTCAAGTTCAGTAACCCTTTGTCACGAGCGACATCAAATGACACGGATTCCCTTAAAAATACGACCGTTCCTTGGTCGAATATAATGCAGAGAGGTTTAAGCTTGAGAGTAGAAGGATCAATTAGAGCTCTTCGGTTAAGGCTCACAAGTCCAATTTGCGTGGCTTCTCTGAGATTTATATATGCATCCGTTTCTGGGTGTTTCACAACCGCACTTCCAGGTTCAATTAATTCATGAGTTATTGCAATTTGAAGTGGTGAGGTGATTGACGTTCGTGGATCACAGAATGTACCTAAAACGACACAAATTATGATGTTATTACAAATACCCCATGTATTCAAATGAATACAAATGTCAAAAGCATACTACATATTTAGTAATATACAAGTAGTCATTTTGTATACACTTACCCCTTTTGAGATCAATAAAGTCGGAATGAATAGCTTTTGAGAAAGATATTGGCTTCGGAACTTTCACTAAGATTCCTTGTTCCACTGCACGATTGAAAGTTGTGGGTTTTCCATTGCGTGCATCCGTAACTAACCCACGATCGTTTTCAATGTCTCCGTCATCTATGGCAGCATTAAGAGATTTGATGTTCTGATTACGAAGGTTTTGCACCGCTGATGTCATTGGATCAATTAAACCCTGCTGTACAGCATTTTTCGGAGTCAACCATTCCCCAAGCAGAGTGTCCGCAATCTTCCCCGTCTTCGAATTATACAGATGCTCTTGAACTGCATCCACAATTGACAATGGTCGATCAGTAGTAAGCACATAACCATCTATTCTTGCCTGGTCGAGTGGAATGCCCTTGGATTTCGAAGAAAGGGAAGAGTCGCCAAGTCTGAAAAGACCACCAACGGGGTCCACAACCCCCAAATTCACGGCAACCGGTAATCGAAGTAATTTACTATCCATGGAACTTTTCACGACGGATGTGTTGGGGTCAATGAGGTCCTCTTTGCACGAGTCTTCTAATGTGAGATATTTTCCAGTGGACGGGTGAACAAATTTTCCAGTCTTTTTATCGTACAAACCAATTTTTAATGCTTGGTAGAGCCCAAAAGGTTTTTCAATGTCCAGAATATGTTTCTCCTCCAAGGCCTGTGCTAAGCTGATCTTCTCAGGAAAGGGAACTGTGGCTCCCGTTTCGTCAGCTGCCAATGATGGCACTTCTGTTGCTTGTGTTGTTGTTTGTGGTAGGGAAAGGTTGAAGAGACCCTCTGTGGCAAACAAATTTACATAATTAAGTCATTGAAAGGTTGTTACTATCGAGAAAGAGGTTGTTAGATATAGGACATAAATGGAGAAAGTGACGCCATAAATTTGTTTATAATGTTTTGATTAATAATACCTTGTCGATCAATTATTCCAACGCGACAGGTTTCTACCAAACTGAGAATTTTTGCCTCTTCTTCATTCCAGACACATGGTAGATTAGGGTTGACTACAAGTCGTCGAATCCCTTCATGTAAGGTGATAGATTTTCCAGAGTTTGGATCCGTCATTCGTCCGCTGTCTTCAGAGTACAGACCCAAATGTAAACATTTTTGAAGGGAGATTGGGCGGCGGCTATCAATCACTAAACCGCTATCAACAGCTTCTGTCAGGCTTAGTTTGACATTTTTCCCAAAATCTTGGACACTGCCATCGTCCCCAGACATAAACCCTTCTTGAATTGCAACTTGCAGAGGCATTTTCTTGGCAAAGCCTTCTCTTGTATCCTTAACGTGCATCTGAAAACAGACAAAAAAGTTGAAGAAACAAACTACGCATATTTGTAGGAATGAATTTAAATACAAGAACTTACAGAGTCTGAGTCGATCACTTTCTCCGATAATGCTTCAGCCAAAGTAATGTATTTTCCAGTAACTGGGTGCATAAATGGACGGGATTTGCCATCCGTGTGAAGCCCTTTCATAAACATTTCTGAGAGTGAAAGTGGCTGCCGCACTTCAATAATAACCCCAGTCTCAATAGCATCACGAATATTGACCATTTCGGAAGGAGAGATTTTCACTAATCCGCTGTTGACGTCTACAATATCTTCAGCCATTGCCGTTCTGAACGGAATAACTGATTCCGTCGCAAAGTTCTTCACCAATGTTGTGTTCAAATTTATTTCTTTATTGTCGATTGCAGATTTTAAGGGGACGCTTTCACCACTCGAGTTGACAAACGTGTTGGTGGCGGGATCATATCTGTCACCATAAAGGGCGTCAGGTAGCGAGATTTTCTTTGTTGGTTTGATGAGTAGACCAGATTCGAGAGCCACGTCCAGCGATATATTGGCTCCTGTAACAGGATCCACGACATGACCAGTTTTAGGGTTCATAATCCCGGTTTCTATTGCTTTCTCCAGGGTGATCAACTGTTCGTTTCTTGGGTCTTTGCAAGTTAGAGCATGAGCATCAATCTCATTCCTTTTGATCGCTTCGTCTAATGCTACAAACTCGTTAGTGTCCTCCAGATGAACAAGTCCAGTCTCTGGGTTGTACTTTCCTTTCGCAACAGCAATGTTAAGTGGGAATGGTTTTGACATGTGACCAAAGTCATCATCGTCGTCGTCGTCACCCAAGTCTTCATCGTCTTGTTGTTTTACGGTTTCTATTGCAGGTTTAGTGGCTGTCGTTTTGATTTGGATGGTCTGGATTTGTTCCCCGCCTTGCTTAGACCCCTTATTTTTGCCTTGAATCGCATCTGCAATGAGAGCACCAGCAGCCAATGGTGCTCCGAGAACGGCAAGCACTCCCAATCCGACTGCTTCCTTCAGTGATATACTTTCGCTGGATGCAGGGTTTGTTATTTGAATTGCATCAGGATTCACTCCTTCTTGCAGAACATTGCCAAGGGGCGCTTCTTTTCCGGTTCGTGGATCAATTACGAGCAGTGAAGGGTCAAGAGACTGAGCCACTGCTGTAGCGGACAACGTTTCAATCGGTGGTGATGGTGGGGGAGATACCACCTTTTTCTGAGGTGATTTAGGGGGTGATTCTTTCAACTTGACAGACAAGTTCGTTGTGCCAGGCAGAGTGGAGGTATGAGACGGAATTGACGACTCTATCACTGGAGAAAGTACAACTTTCTCCTTTGTCGCGAGAAGAATTTCTCTTTGCATTTTCTCGTCAGTGGTGAGGTTTGAATCTGCGAGGTGTGGAATTGTATAATTAGTAAGATCACTGTCCTCAGGACTGGTCATCATAATCTTCCCTTGTTGAACAGCTTGTGAAATCAAAGTTTTCTCCCCCGTGCTGATGTTTGTCATTGTTCCCTTTTCAGGGTCGACCAGACCCAACATTACTGCTGTGGGCATTGTCATTGCCACCGGATTCATGTAGTTTTCCATTGGGTGAGGCATATCTTCATATGTGCCACTTTCGAGGGCTTGAATTAAGGGGATCTCTTTGCCATCTTTCCCAGTGACTCCTCCCGTTTCGTTCGATACAATGTTTTTCGTGAGGGCGTCCGTGAGCGACATTCGCTTTTTAGAAACTGGGTCCGTCACGGCAGATTGGCCGAAAAGCACTTGAGAAGAAATGGCTTCAGACATGGTTAGATTGTCCCCTGTTTCTGGGTGAATTATTTTCTGTTCTTTTGGGTCGAATAAGCCCTGACTTTTGAGCTCTGGAACCGTGACGCTTCTTCCCACGGGAAGCAACACATTGGCCTCATCATCAAGCAGATTTTTTATCACAGCCTCGTTAATAGTCAACAACTGTTGAGAGTCAGGGTCCAGTATGGCTCCACTGTTCCCGTCAATTTTCCCCAACTGGATGGCTTCCTTGAGATCAATCTTCTTTCCGTCCGGACCGATGAAATTTTCAGGAGCCGACAAAATAGCTGCAGTTTTAGAATCAACCATTCCACTGGATATCAATTCTGTAATTGGAACCTTGTGACGAGATATTTTTGTAATAATGACAGTCGTAGTTGTTGTGGTTGTAGTTGTGGTGTACACGGACTCGAGTGGGATAACTTGCTCCGATATGACAACACCAACTTGAGTCGCATCACTACTGCTTCTATTATTCAAAGGCATGCTGGTAGTTGATGGTTCGGACTTTTCAATAGGAACTGAATCCACGAAGGTGGGAGGAGGAAGGGGGCACGAGGACGGTTGGGAAGAACCTTCGCTGCTCGCTGGAGCACTGATGTCGGTTGGAGCTGGTTCTTGGTGAAGCAGTTCACCAGCAGCAGGAGTAGCAGTTCCTGATGATAAAACGCGTTCAACTGTTTCAGGTTGTTGTTCTGATTTAGCAAACTGATCCTCACCAATTTTTTCCACACCAATCTTATCTGTAGATTTGATTATTTTATGGATTTGCATAGGGTCGGACTGCGTTAATAATAATGAGTGTGCGCTTGTCAGAATTTCTGGCTGCAAGGCCGTTTCTATTCCTGACGTCTCTGATTCACGAGGATCATCATCATCATGTACTAATCCAAGCTCAACTTGTTTTTGGCAAGCCTTTTCATTAGCAATTTTGGATGCCAGCGAGTCATAAACTGCCTTGACTCCGAGAGCAGGAGCTGCTGCGATGGCTAAAGCACCAAGTTTTAATGCATCTTTTACACTTATTGTCTGACCATCCACTTTCACCGATCCAGTATTTTTGTCCAAGTGGCCTCGATCAATTGCTTCCTGCGCAGTTAAATTATTTCCATCCTTGTCTTTAATTATCACCAGCGTGGGATCCACTTCACCTTGCAGCACGGCATTAATAACAAGCTCATCAGGGTGTTGCTGACTTAGAGATTGAGATATTTCACTGGGGAGTAGGGTGCCAGTTGTTGTCGGAAAATTCTCCAAGGTGGATTCAACAAGTTCCGTTTTATCAGAACTGGCAAGGTCAGGCCCCGTAGTAGTGGTACTGATTTTGGGGTCCACCTTTAGCAGAATCAACCCCCGACTGATGGAGTCGGCTAGTGAAAGGTTCTTGGTGTCAGGGGTGTGACCTTGATAGTGTCCTGTCGAATTTATTACTTGTTTCTCAATTCCTCGAATAATTGAGGTTCTTCTTTTCCTTTTCTGGTCTACAATTTCTGCCGATGTAGGGTCAATTATTTTCAAATGAATGCACTCTTCAAATGTCATCTGTCGATCAGTTCCTGGAATGGTGAATAAACCCGCATTCGAGTCAAAAAGAGGGTTGCCCAATGCATCCTCCAAGCTCCATCCATCCGCTGGAATTTTCAAAAGCCGCCTGTCAATCACATTTTCTTCGGATGAGGGTTTCTGAGTTTGCAATTCACTCTGAAATTGATCCTGAGACGATGGGCTTGACCTGACTTTAGTCATCTCGTCGGTAATAGGTTGTTGCGTTTGCAATGATACAACTGATGAGTATTCATCAGAAGAGGAAACAAGTTCAGGTACCGCAGGCACATCCATGTATTGAAAAGTGGATTTGATTTCTTGTGAATGGACTGTAACCAAGTGTTTTTCGGTGGTGGTGACATTGGCAGTGGTTAAATTAATGCTATAGAGCCCCTTCAAAAATTCAGCTTTCTCCGGATCCAATAATCCTTCCTCAACAGCCATGTTGATCGGAATCGGGGGCGAGACGGATTCACCAGTTGATATTTTTCCACTCGGCAGTAATTTTTGTTTTGTAATCGCTTCTAAAACGGACATTTCTGATCGGACCTGGGAAGTAGGGTCCTCCTTCTCCCAAATACCAGATGGAGAATTCAGGATTGGTAGAATTTGGGAACTGATATTAAGCGAATTAGATTGAGGCGTGGTGTGCGGATCAATTAATTGTTTTTCTAATGCCTCTGTCAAGGAAATTGGAACACTTGCTTCGGTTGGATCCGTAACACATGGAATGTCAAAAATTGAGGTTCTAACGACAGTGGACAAAAGGCCTTGTTTTGATGCTGCTTTCAAGGGTACAAGTGTACCCAATTTGGCATCCACAACCACACTGCCACTCGGGGTAATAATTCCTTTTGCCAAAGCTTCTTCCAAGCTGACCAACTTTTCTGTACTTGAATCTGTAACTGTTTTGCTAGTAACATCGAGATTTCCTGCAGCCATTGATTCCAGGATTGTTTGATCTACTCTTGTTATTGGGTCTATGATTGAGCTGAAAGCCACCTCAGTCGTGCTCTCTCCAAGATAATATTCCTTGACTAAATCGCTATCGCAAGCATCCTTTAAACTAATTGGTTTTCTGATGAGCTGACTTGAATAAGCTGAGGAGAGGGGTTCACTTTTATTCCAAACTCCCGTTTCCGGATCTATAATTTCATCGTTAATAGCTTCCACAACTGTTATTCGTTTCTTTTCTTCCGGGTGATAAACTTCTGTGACGAATGGGTTTAAAATCCCTGCATGGATAGATTCCTCAAGGGAAAGTTGTTTCCCAGAAAATCTGTCCAGAATTTTGACTTGAGGTACATTGTCATCACCGTCATTTGGATTTGTTGAGATGAGGGATACAAGATCTTGTTCAAATAGTTCAGAGAGCCCGTGTCCTGCGGGTGACGAGTGTTCTGCTGTCTGCACAGATATCAGTCCTTGTTCAACAGCTTCAGTCAAATGCACCGTTTTCTCTTCGGTGGTGACGTTTTCAGACATTTCTTTTAGTTTTCCAACATTAATTACTCCAGTTTTGGGGTCTATTACCCCACCTGCTTGCACTAATTGTGTTAATGTAGGGTTTTGGTGGGTTGTGGGAGGAGGGACACTAATTAATACATCACTTGACAACGAAAGATCCAAGCTGATTGGATTCCCAATCATGTCAGATGACCTGATTGACGATGGCGCGATCACATGTGCATCGGTGCTTATATCTGAAGTATGTTGCTCACCAACAAGTGTAGTAGAAACAGGAAAATAGTCAGAAGGAAGGAAAGGCCTATCACACGTCGCAGAAATACTACCACCAGGCATAGATTCCTGGGACAGTTGACAAGATTGTAACAACTTGTATTTAGTTACCACCAACAAATCATTATTATCATCATCATCGTGGCCAACATGCCGGCTTGTATTTAACATGGAGGAGTTATAATAATTTCTTACCTTGTGTTTTGTGCTTAATCCTAATCGAATGGCTTGTTCTGTGGTAATTGGTTCCCCAGTTTGTGGGTGAATAAATACACCTTTACTGAGATCATAGTACCCTTTCCTAATTGCTTCTAAAAATGTTAGTTCTTCTCCAGTTTGAGGATCGACGAGGCCACACAATCCCATGAGTTTGTGTAAAATTCCCGACTCTATGTAACCCAGCTCTGTGGCTTCTTGCAAAGTGATTCGTTTGTTAGTTCTGGGGTCAACAAATTCACCAGTTTTAATGTCAACAAGCCCGCAACCAATCGCTTGAGATAAGGTTAGTGAATCTCCCGTTGATGGGTCAATTATCCCATAAACGGTGGTAGTTTCGGTTGAGATTCCTTCTTCCACTTTTTCTATGATCTTTGCAGACCGGATTTCTGTAAATCTGAGACTAGCACCACCCAACATCCCATCGCCAGACCCTTCCTTCTCCCCGTTCGTGTGGCCATTCCCATTCTTAACTCCCATGACGGACAACTTTTTAGTGGTAGGACCCTTTGCAGGAGTTAGGGTAATGTTTGCAGAGGACTTTTGCTGAACAAAGTCAACAGTGTCCTCAGATTGAAGAAGGTCGCTATAATTCATACAAAATATACACTGTTACAAAACACTTATTTCAAACTACTTAAGTCTATGAAGCAGGTCAACAGATTAAGTAACAATTTTTGTAAATCCAATTATTATTACTTGAGTGGACTGGTAGCTTCACGTTGAGCATGAATACGATAAGTTTTTATTGGACTAGGAGCAGGTACAATTGGCATCTGTAAAAAAAATAAGCAAATTATTGCAATGGATTCCAGAACACTGTAGTATCACCTGCAACCAAAAGTTAAATAAATAAAGCTTACCTCGAAGGATGTATCTTCTTGCGTTGCGACTACTTGCCTGTTAATATTTAATCAAATATAATATAATAGTTAATATTTAATCGAAATTAGTAGTTTCGTTCTCCCTGCTTGACTAATTGTGTGCTGGGTCGTACTTGGAACGTTTGTTTAACAACCCAGATCACACGAGTTAACTGCCCTAGTCGACTCCACTTGTATGCTCGCAGCCCGTCTCACACAATAAACAACACTTTCCACAAAACAGTTTCACTCTCTCATTAATTTATTACTAAAGTAGTCTTGATTGGAATTTGATTAATAAATAAAACCAACGCGATGGACAGCCCGTTGGACGTCATTATTGACATTCCTTGTCATCGACAAGAGATTGTGAGTCGTGGTCCAATTCCTGCCTTTTGTCGAGTTACGAAAAAAGTTAAAATGGACAATGACGGAAGTAGGTGTGAGGCAAGTCATGTTACTGGTAAGCATGTAAAAAATGATATACAATTATACAGGTTACTTAAATTGTGATTTCAAAAATATAAAAAATAAATGTGAATGAACAGATTCGGAAGTGGCTGTAGCATTTTATAAAATTGCACGCCCAGAAATTCCAGATGATGATGAAGAGCCTTTTGTCCATGACCTAGGACGTGTCTCACCAGAGCCAATTGCCTCTGCACTTGATTCTGCACTCTCCCCGGCAGAAGAAGAAATTGTTGTAGAAATAGTCAAAGAAGCTGGTGAAACAGGAATCGACGTGGGAGATTCTGGACGTTTTTTGGTGTGGAGACATGCAGCTCCAAGAGGTTTTGGACAAACTGTGGCTCGTGTGTCTGGACAATTAAGTTTAAAAAAACCAAATACTGCGGGTTCTGGGGAGATAGGCTGGACCTATCCTCCAATTTGTACTTATCCAGGTATTAATAAATCATTACAAAACGGAATGTAAATATGTAGCGTTAGCATATATTGCTGGACATTAATAAGTATAATATTTTTTAATTTAAGGTTGCCGTTCAAGTGAAGGTGCAAGAGTTGATGAGCAAAACCCCACATGCTTAAAGCATAAGGGTCCCAACACTGGATTTTGTGTCCTTGAGTATGGCACGTTCGACAGAAATGGAGTAGTTTCTTCAATGGATCATCGTATTCTCTCATTCACATATACGGATGGACAAAAAGATGAACATCTGACCTTAGCTATTCAGAAAATCAGAAAACCAACTGGACAAGAACAACGAAGACTAGTTTTTGAGGATCGAGAGGAAGCTGAACAAACATTCTCCGTTTGGCAAACAGCGTTCTTGTTTCAAAAGCTTCGAAACCCTCTTCTGCAGTATCACTACACCACAATCTCATTAGCTATTGGACTGGAACGAGAAGTGAAAGAAGAATTGAGACGAGTCGGACTTGAGTTACGTCTCACTATGTTGCTCACCAGCAAAAGTGAAAGTAAGAAGATTGAGTTTCCATTTGGCCGAAGAGCAAAGCCACAAGATAAATTCTCAGATTTGATCACTGCGAATGATGGTGCGCTTTATGTTGCTGCTGACCCACAATTCATTTATGGAGGTCAGACTGTCAGAGGTTCTTATTTACATCCGGAGATGAATGGAGTTGACACCATATCCAAGTACAAAGCAGAGTTCAACCATAACGTGAAAATAATTCCAATCGCTTCAGTCCCAAAAGGTGTCAGATCTGCTAATTTGAAGAAAATGGAATCACACCTCCATGTCGGCTTGTACATGGCTTATCTGTTCCGACTTCGAAATCACCTGGACCAAGAGCTCAATCTTACTCATCCATATTCTTTAAACAAGGAGACAACTTCTTGTCATTTTGATGGAAATTCAAGGGAGTTGATTCAGAGATTTGTTCTTAAAGAATTTGGAGCCTTTGTTGAAATTTTACCATGTCGTGCTTATCAATTCATTATTTAACTATACAATTTTTACTTTCACTAAAATTTTTTTCAAACAGCTTACCTGTATATTATTGCAAGTTGTTGAAGACGGTGATAAAGGTTGTCTACTGTGAGTTGGTACTTGAGATTCAATAGATCGAGTTCTCGGAAAATAACTTCCTCCGCTGACTGGACTTTGGCTTTTTTGACTAGATTGGCGTTTAAACTAGGGTGTGTTTCTTCCATAGTTTCACGATAGGTGTCCACAATGGAATCATATCTCTGTATTACGAGTTACCCAGTTAATCTATTAGTCGTTGCATTATGTAATCGTATTATCAAGCATAACGTTTATGTATTTATACATAGAACAAAAGCAAAGCAAGCTCAAGAAGATAATAATACATGCCATATTTTCCTCTCCCCTTAATAAACCACATTACGTCACCGAGTAATTATTATTGGTAATCCATTATTAATTGATAAACAAAAAATATATATTCAAAATTAAACGACTCAAAAATTATTCTTGTCAGTGATTGGTTGGTAAATGTGTTTAAATCAACTATTAGAAAAGCCTTATTTAAATGTGAGTTGAGTAACAAAAGTTATTAACTATTTGTTAAAAATTAAGTATAAATTAAAAAATCAAGTGTAAAAGGGTTAACTATGTTGTTGTTTGGTTAAACCGATAGTTGTTACCGTATTTGCAAGTACACGAGTTTACAAATGAACATTCAACAATGCGAACAAAGGAATACGAAGGTATGCTGCAACCAAATCAACACGAAGTAAAAATTATCATAAACAACCCTACATACACATCATTCTTGGACTGAGCATTATCCATTGACAGCCTAAACGTTACCTCCCACAACACAGCAAACGCTCTCACATGCAAACAAACGCTTGAAACGACATTGCGAATACAAAATTGAGATAAACAAACTGCGAAACCAAGAACAAACTGCTTTTCATTACCTTGGCTTCTTTAGCGAGGCGAGCACCTAAAAGAGAAAATAAAGGAATCGTTTTACATGATGCTAATGATATTTACAACATATAAATATAAACAGATTTGTGGATTACTTACCCATTGTATTTACTTGTTCGATAGTAATTTTTTCTTCAATGACACTGTTATATAACGTCTGAACAACAAAAAATAACTAATTAGTATAAGTTCGTATAATATTTTTACGTCATAACTATGATCAAATGATTACCATGTGAGGATTAATTTTCCTTTTTGCCCCACTACCTTCCACCAAGGGAAGACTTTTAGTTTTCGAATCGACACTGTCGAGCCAATTCATTTCCTTGCTGTACGAGGTGTTGTACCTTGAAGCATGTTCGCTGGTAATTTGAACGGTATTGATTCTACACAAATAATATAGATTTTTATAAGTTTCCGTAATTTAACTCAAATTAATAAACCCAAAGCTTTGTAAATTTGAAATGCAAAATATTATTGTACCGCTCAACAATTTCTGAACAAGTGCTCGTCCAGCGAGATGAAACACGATGAACCTTACGGATTAATTATGAATTAGTTGTGTACAATTTATAATTTATGTAATAATTCTCTTATCATCCAGCAAATACTTACCTCGTCTTCGAGTTTCTCAATATCAGTATGTCTTTTTTGTGAAGGCCTCGACTTTTCAACTTTTTGACGAACGATTTTCGTATTGTCAACCATTCTGTCGACAGTGTGTTGGTGAGCTTGAGCAGTATTTTGAAGATTGTACAGATCGTTGGAGACCTACGAAGACACGTATAACCATTTTAGCAAGAGAAAATTTACATAAGTAAAGTGAAACTACTAACTCTCTTAATTCCATCATCATCTGTAGGTAAGTTTTCATAGGACGCGAGCTTCATTTCGAACTGTGATACGTGCGTCTTTGTTTCTTCCATCGAATTCAAGACAATTTCGACAGACTTTAATCGTTCTACATAAAGATTTGACAAACTCCACACTCTTTCCCATTTCTCCACAACTTTCTCCACCTTGGCTTGAACTGAAGCAGTTTTCTGAGGCATTGTGGCATAATTTCGTTGCATAGTTTGAACTCTGGACTCAAAAGTGTGGATTTTCATTTCGAACTCTCTGTGCTCAACCACCAATCTTGAAAGACTGTCCACATCTTTCGGTATCTACAACCAAATTAAACAAATTTAGCACTGCTGTAGTAGTGTGGTTACATTAATTGTTATTGCTAAATGATTGGCTTACTGGTGCATTAGCACGAGATACGATATTTCGTTCCAGATCTTCTAAATCTTGATGCAATATTGTAACTTGTTCAGTAAAATTTTTGCTAGCAGTTTTGGTTTCTATAAAGAAATAAGATATTCCAATTTTCATATCATATCTTTATATGTAGAAATTAAGGCTAGTGACATGTGTGCTTACTCTCTGATTCCATTGCTTTCCTTTCGAATTCATCAAAGAGTCGATTGACCTCGTCAATCTCCCTACGCAATCTTCGTAAAGCTGGATCACTAGGGTCACCTTCTTGGATCAACTTCTCTGCATCCTCATTTAAAGCTTTCCTAATTGCATTTCTTTGTTCCGCCCCCATTGCCAAAAACTGCGACAGGTCCCAGCTGTTCAAATGTTAAATGTTTTTAAGTTGAAGTGTAAATTGATAAACAAATACGCACGTTTTGAGGCTTATGAGTATCTTATTTGTCATTACCTTTTGACAACTTTAATCGTTGCAAATATCATGTTTTGGCGCATCTTCAGTTGCTTCTTTTGCCACATTGTGACCGTTCTATCATATTGCCGTCGAAGTCTGTCGGCAGCGTCTAAAGCCTCGTTATCTGGAGGTGGAATTACAAAACAAACGCCTGGGAAGAAAACAAATAAATTTATAGTCAGACCTTTCTCTAATCAGATAAATGAATATTGTCATGTGACTTAGTTAATATAGCCATAAAGCTTACCGGGAACCATGCCCTCCAATCCTGAAAGTAAAATCCAGAAGAAATTTAAAGATATGACTCAAAAATGTTACCATATTAAAAGATGAAGTATTGATTTTCTATGCTCTCTATAAATATTGCTATTTAGTTTAAAATTGTGAAAGTTGTTACCAGAAGAGTTGGTTATTCTCCAACGGACTCTCTGGCTGTTGTCGGTCAATGTGCATCGCTCATCCTTATTGATCACCATTTGTTGCTAAAAACAATTTATAAAATAAGTAAATTTTAAAGGTAACCTTTTTGCACATTCGCTCAGGTCGTGTTTTACTCTTACGTTATTTTGTTTATAATTGCAAATTGCAGTCACAATTATTGGTCTCGACACATTTGTTTTTCGTTGCTTCAATGGAATTATATCTCGACTCTGATTTGACACAGAAGTAATAATATCGCCATACTTGGTCAAATCTTCTCTCATGTCTAAAAAGGAGAAAAAGGTCAACTCGGATGGTAATTCGAAGCGTGGAAGTTCGAACAAAGTAATATAATATTGCATTACCTTGCATTTCTTTCAACAGCATTTCACCTTCATCGAGACTAAACTCGGATTTACTATAAACGGTGTTCAACATTTCCTCTTTCCTGCATATATATTTTTAGAATATGCTTTAGCCTTCTTGACACACAAATCAAGGGTGTATAATGGTCACATATAGTGGTTTTCATACCTCGCGACGGTCTGTTCGCATTCGCGGATGTCAGAGAAATATTGTTGGTAAGTTGCGACATGTTTCAAATGAGTTTCCAAACAAATGGTTAATTGCAACAGCCATGCCCATTGGGTTTGCATAGCAGACATGTAAGTTTCGATGCATTTGGAAGCGGGGTGGTGTTGCAGCACTAGAGATTCCCCTCTATCCTGAACAGCGTTGAATTGGATTTCACGCTTCTCAAGTTCACACATTAGTGACTGAAAATAAAAATACAAAAATATAAAATTATAATCCACATACGATATTTATTATTTATCAAACTGTATTAACAATTCAAAAATAATGTGTCTCATCTTCAAATGTACTTGCCTGACCACCAGATCCGAATGCATGCTGATGGCAGCATAAAGTTACGGTATACACAGTTTATACGTTTTAGGATTAATTCTGACATCTAGTGTGTCAGATCAAGTTCATATAACAAGCTACAATAAAATTACCTCATAATACTGCTCCACTTCGACAAGGTTGATGTTCTTGGAACTCCAATCTCTTGTTATTTCGCGTTCTTCTTTTTCACTTAACCTAAAACGTAATAATGGTGCATTTAAGACTTATGTATGTACAAATAATACAAATAAGGAACCACTAGTTTCTTTTATAAAACTACATACCACATAAGCTCATTAGTTGCGCTTTGAACAAAATCGCTGCAAAGTTCATAAAGAAGTTAATTTCAAATGTTGACGCAAAAAATTAATATTATGATGTCAACGAAATGGCATATAATCAAACAAACCTCAAAGTTTCCAGATCAGATTGACGTTTTCTAGAAGACATTAACAATTCCGAGTACGACTTTTGTATCGTATTCAGGTAGTTGATGTACAACTGAAGTTCCTCGCCATGAAATGAGCTCTATCAAATTAGCAAAATAAATTTAATTTGTTAAGCCGAAGATTATGGGTTGACTTAACAAAATCTATTTGTGTAATGATTTTGACTGAAAGCGTGACGCATGTCAAGATTCCAATAAATGTAGAAATACCTTGGAAGTTGAACATTTATCCACGCTGGATTGAAACTTTTCGATTGTTCTGTGTCGAGCATTAAACATGTACAATTATTTATAAACTTTTTGACTCAAATTAGTATCAAAATATGCATATTTCCTTTACAAACCTATGTTCTCGTAGTTGTTTTTCAAGCTCTGCTTGCACGGATGGTAAATCACTTCCGAAATCGCTGTCATGTAATGATTTTTGCTTTTGTTTAATCCAATCACCAACTTCTTGCAAGGTCTTGAAAAATTAAAAATCATAATGTTACAATTGACAGGAAAACATTTTCCATTGAACACTTATGAAACACAATAAATTTCCCTTACGCGGAAATGTTGGTTAGTCTCCACTAATCTGGTTTCCATCACCTGGAAGTAACAACAAAAATGTTATTACGACGAAACATTTAATTTTCGTATATCAAAGTAAAATTTAACAATAAAACACTAACCGTCTTTGATGTGCGAGTTACTGATTTCTCTTCAATTGGAAACGAAATTGATGCCAAAACAGAAAGTAGGCGATTGTGAAGCAGGGATCGAATGCTTATCCACCTACATGAAATATAAGTAAACTGTAAACCGAATTCAAATTTTAAGTCACGTAGATTTTACAGTTTACTCACCTCTGGTGAAGATGTTGCACCCTGCAAAAAGTAAGCCGTTTGTGAGATTTGAAAACATTCCACACTATTTAGGCATGCACATGTATAATTATTACAATGATCTTACATCTTTTGAACTTCAGATGCTTGATGAAATCTGGCGTCTTTTAATGTTTGAGTGTCCGTGAACATTGACTTGATGGTGTCCTCTGTCATTTGCATGTCTCGCTCAAGTTGATCCTAAATTCATAACCATTACTCATTTGACAACGTAAACACAATAATTTGGTTGTGCGGTGAAATTATCCGAGCATTTGGACGCAATCTCAAAGTTTGCAATTCGTATTGTTCAAGGACGACTACAAAGGCTCAAACTTGCAGCACTAATAACGTCCCTGTACGAGGAAGACTTTAACAAAAACATGATGCCCTAGAGAAAATTCAATTTGTCTACTAATTGTGTTTTTGATGTCATACAAACTTGAACTTTAGTTGCTTATAACTTGACACAATAACCTGTCATTTTGCTCGCATTAGTCGGATTTTACCATTCAATTTCACCTCACAAGAAGCATATAGATGGTTTAAAAATGCATACACAATTATGCTTGGCGTCCAAGGGGTGCAGCCGATCAATCCGTCTGGCTTCCTCATCAATTCGTTGCTCAATTTCATCAAGTCGAATCTCGACTTGTTTCCCTTCCCGGTGAATTTTTTCAGCCAGACGTTGCAATTTTTCCAGCTTCTTAATCTCTTCGTGGATCTAAGGACATTGAAAATTGAAAAGAAAAGGTGGGGTGTGACTTGAATAAGTATATGTCAGCCAATCTTACCGCTTGATCTTTTTCTTGATGGGCCAGCATGAGCAACTGCCATTGTCGTTCGATGTTTTCCATGTGTAGCTCACGATCCAGTTCTCCATCCCGGAAATGTTTCTGTAATTTTTATACGCATCATCACACAATGAGATATATTATTATTGCCGAGTTAAACTAAGGATAAGCTAACATACTTCAGCATCCCGGAAAAGGTGAGCTAATCGTTGTTTATCGTGACCGCGCGATGGAACTTCTTCAACTCGAAAACGGTTCATTTCAGCAGCCATTTTTCTCATTTCAATGAGAGAGGTAGAAAAATGACGGTCTTGCATGTTGTTCACATTTTGTCGGATCCACGTGTACAGAGAGGTTGCAATTTCTCTGTATTCTTCCCATTTCTTTTGAGACTCCTAAAATGGCAAAGGTATTAATAGTGGCATATGAGATGCGAAATAATGATAATTAACACTCGAAAAAATACAAAATTCATTTACAGTGTCGTAAAGTGGATGGAGTCTGGGCGGTTCAGGAAAAGCGTCGTAAAGTGACGAGATGTATGTGATGATGGATTTTTCATCAGGCTCATTGGTATCAACGTCTAATAATACAAATTGTATTAAAATTTATCGATATGAAGTAACACATAGGATGAGGATTACATGTAGCATTCCATATTATGCGGATGATCTACATACCTTCAGGATCTAATAGTTTGACAACTCCACAATCTCGTTCGGCAACATTGAAGGCAGTTTCGAGTCTTTCGCGAGCACTTCGACGGGTGACACTTCTCCAATCAATGAGGTCGGGTCTATAATTACCATCAAAATGCGATAACAATTTCGAACAGGTTTTAGCACCTTACTTATTATCATCAATTACGTACCTGTTCCTGTTCAATAATGCGCAAAAGGCAAGACCATCCTTCCATGATTTTGTGAAATCGCCAACTCGCACTCCTGGGTATTTGGCAGTTGATTTTTTAGCCCATGCCTGGTGGAATTCATGAAATGTAAAACTTGCTCAACGTAGTATTTTATATAATTACATAACACAGTAATGTCGTCATATTGTTGTTCTGTATCGGCGATTATTGATTGACTATATGTAAGATCCGGAATACGTGCAAAAACTAAGGATAAGTAACTTACCAGTAGTGCTTCTTTGGCCGACACATTTTCTTCCATCCCAACGACAATTTCGGAGATCTAAAACATCATAAAAAATTAAATGTATAAAAACTGCATCATCTTTTATGACTGCATTCATTCTCATTCATCATCATCATCGTCAATGTTGTTGAAACCAATCCAGAAAGTACACAAAAGTAAACTTCCAGCATTTACTGGCACGTCCTAATTACTGCATGCATGCTAACCTCCAAACCAACATTTTGCTTTCAGCGAAGCATGTAAACAAAATATGATTAAACCAATTATACTTCTGCATCAAGATTGTTCTCTTACTGGTCTGTATTGCATTCAAGGTTATGCTGACTTCTGCTGGCATGGAGTGTGCCATCAAGAGTGAAGTCATCATTACTATTCATAATTATTTATGCAATTGTAGTAACGTTTATTTTGAGTAAGTGAAAAACAACCCTAGGTGAAATGCAAACTTGATTTTATAACTCACTCGCTGACATCATCACAAACAAACACTTTAAATTTTGGTACAAGGATTTCTGGGATGAGGTCGGTGGAAATGAAATCATACAGTCGTCAATGTAGTTATAGCCTTGTTATCCACTTCAAACATCCGTAAATGTAATCCTCAGTAATTAAAACAAACTCAAATATGCAAACAAGAAAATACAAAATTGTGTGTGAACAAATTGCTTGGAAATTCTCATCATCATCGTTGTCAAAGTCAAACAAAATAAGTGATTGCACACTCAAAAACACATTTTGAAGATTAGAAAGAATGGGACCCGTATAAAAAAATCAAACTGAGCCGATTTTTAAATGGAGATACCGTTTTGCATGTCACTGAATGAAGCGACACTCTTTATAAAAATAAGTAACAGTAACAATTATTGAAGGGGATGAGACCGTTATTGCGTATGTGCATATTGCATGACATACTGAATATGATATGACCAATTTCATGTATGTATGCAAATCTTCACAAACAAATCATTTCTCTTATAGGATAGTAAAACCGCAGGAGAACTTTTCTTAGTTAGTGATATTATTATACATGTGGACATATGAAACAAACCCGTGTGTATGATAACCAATTCAGACGCAAAGTGCAATGCAGAGTAAAATCTGTGTGGTTTTTTGTCACTGCAAGGTGGACAGGGTAGGATTACAAACAAAGAGTGATTTTCATAATGGGGATTATCTCAGGAGTTTGAAGAGATTGAATATTTTTTGAAGTTGTTGCACATTGTGTGCAGCCTGCCTAATACAGAAGTCATTTACCTTCTTCGAAGAAGCCTCATCTATGCCATGTTTCCTACTTTTGTGACCGTTCGAATAAGAAGCATTGTTGGTGGAGGTAAACACCTCAGTTTTGGTAGACCGAAGCCTGGTGTTACCACCACCACCCCGGGTGCTACTTCCACTACCACCACTGTTATGCGTCCCCCTGATACCATTATCATCTACGTCGTCTTCGTCCGTCCATGGGGTTCTGACCACTTGCTCTGAAACGAGTACTTCTTTCCCGTCTTTTCCTGTAAGGGTGACCAAGCTTTCTGTCACCGTCCTCTGCTCGCCTCGAGTTAGAGTTGTTGTTTTCCGTATGATTTTTCGTGTCACCGACTTTAAACCACCTTTTCGAGCAACACGGTTTGTGGCCGAGGCAGATGAGTGAGATTCGGTGTTAAATATTCGTTGTGTTTGCACTCGTTGTACATCAGAACCTTCGCCACCAATATCCCGACCGTATTCCAGCATTTCGTCATCCGGATTCTGATTGACGGCATCAGGATCTGCATCTTCCCTGGCAGCTTGAATAAACAGCCGAGGGCCGCGCACAAAATGGTAGATAGACATTTTAAACGCTCAAATGGATGACATGCCCGTGATATTAAACAAACACTGAATAAAATTACCACACTTGAAACAAGTTAACCGCTATTCACTGCTGTGCACTCGGAATTTGTACACAAATATGCGATTAATCCGATAAAATCCGATATTCGGTCCGGATGCTTCAATACGAGCGAGAATGCATGCTGTGCCAGGTACTTGTGCTTGCTGGATATTGCATGGAAAAGTTTGCATGGAACGTTCGTTATCACACGTTGAAATCTTGCAATAATAATGAGAGTTCCGGCACAAGACAGACAAGCTTCACTTCACCAATTCATCTCCAAGTGAAGACTGAGAGTGATTCCACACATACCAAAATCTATGCATGCGAAAGCTCATCTCTATTCCAATTTCATGCAGATACGTGATGTGCGATAATTAATCGTCCAACTATTGACTTCGCCTTCATTCCAAACAGTTTTATTTAATGGTAGTTCACAACCAAGTTATAATGGTTCTTCTTCGGTGTAAAAGTACACAAATAAATCTACAACCACAATCTCAATGCTAAACCCTCATATTTCTCAAGTTTTGATACTGCATTGCATTGCAAGGAGTGTCCAATGATCAACCATGCTACAAGTACATATCATATTGCTGTAGGCTGATTGTGTATTTACATATTTGTAGCTGATGGTAGAATATGTACAAATGCAAAACGGAACCTTCGAAACTTAATTCATATTCCACTTTTCAATTTAATTAGTTGATGGTTACTTTTAGCACAAGAAACACTGCACAACCTTTTTATTTCTGTATGATGTTGACTAGGCCAAGCCAAAAACCTGCATTCACCAACTTAAATGCGAATTCCTTAAAAGGAAATCCCTTTCAAACATTGAAACCGACTTGCTAATTATAGAATTGCAAATTTTAATTTTGCCACTTCAAAACTCATGCTCCAACACTTATCACGACCAAAACCTGCGTTGTTTTGGTGCTCGATACTTTTCGAAAATTTAGAAATCTGTCGTCCAACTGTTACCACTTTGACCAGCGTATGGCAATAATTTAGCAAAGTTCAGTCACAGCAAAACCAACTGTGTGAGCACAAATCTATCTGCTTGGATTGTTATTATGATTCTTAATCCTTTGAAATAGTAGAAATGCAGTGTGGTGTGCCTGTAGCAAACTGGGATTCATGTAGAAAACCCAATGCTGTTCATACCGGCGGAACCTCGTCTGATTCCATCAGCTAACAGTATTACGTATCCTCCTTCTATATACTACCTGTCCAACAATACATGAAAGCAATGGTATGTATGAGAGCAGGTAGTAGTGTTGGAGTGGAGATACACATTTTTTTACCAACGGCACAACAGGTAGGTTACAAAAGTTGGCTATATAACAACCTGACTGGATGGCTATGAATGTAAAGAAACTAAACAACAGTTCGTACATCCCTTCTCATCATCTCTCATGATCTAATACCTCTTCGTTCACTAAGTGTGCAATGCATTTTCAACAACTAAACATTCCACCACCACATCATCGTCTTCTCTGTACAACGTACATATAACTCCCGTACATGGATGTAATTCGAGGTTTCTTTGCACCTGGGGGTTGGCAGCATTATTGCACAAGGCGAAAAGTTATGCATGCACCTTCGTCTTGACATATGAAAGCACAAACTGGCTGCGGTAAGACATGTCAATACAGCTTGTGATGTCATACAACAGTAAAGATGGTCTTGTACCGGAAGCCTCGAGCTCTCAAACCTTCTTCGTCTCATGAAATTTGAGAAACACACACGCCACTAGTAAAAAATACTGGCTTCAAATAAAGATCTATGTAGATGTACAAAACTTTGCTGACTGTTCCATGTCCACTACGACCAACTGATAAAGTAGAAATTTCCAGGTTATTTATTATATTTTAACAAGAGATTGATATAAACACTGAGAAGCCGATTTCATAGCTTGTGACATACGCACCCTGGTACATAGTAATACACGTACGCAAGGCTACAAGAATGATTATATGAACACAAATTCCAAGTCATGCAGAATATCAATTTCTTATGAAGCTAACACAAATCAGTGTAATCATTGTCGATGCGAAGAAATTACTCCTGAATTTAAATGAGAATCTGACGATTATTGTTTGGATTCCCTTAACTTAACTCATCCCATGTCATAGTAGTATTATGACCGACTATGGATAGCAGATATGGCATAGTCAACTTATGTGTGTTTAGTTTAGGGTTAATAAATGCATGCAACACCTGATTCTATTGTATTCTATGCTCCTATTCATAATTTAAAATCAGAACACTGAATGCTGAGGTTTGTAAGCAACAAGAAAGTTGTATCCTGGGCTTCACAATATATGGCTTTCACTTTGCAGAGTTTCAATGAAGAAGAATTATGTTAAAGACACTCGGCTACGAATCTTTAAAATCATCTTCCAGACCATAACACGGGATGGCTTTATATTTGTGTATACAGTTTGTGGACACTACTTAAATGCTAATTAGTATTCACAATATTTACATATGCACTGTATTACACTTTGCACAAAAGTTATAGCTTAAATTAACCTACAAACTGATGCATCTCCTTGCTCTAGTCCCTTCTTTTAACATTAAGTATTTTCACACGAATAAATAACAACCTATTTTTACACGACAAGCCTAAACAACCCAATATTATTATCCACATAGAAGTTTAAATGTTCGGGCTGGCTATCTTTGGTTGATAACTAATAATTTGCGACATGGGTTTGCTGTCAAACAATGTAACATGTGAGTGTTATATGCTTGTAGCCTTGCCTGACATGTGAATGTGTGATAAGACCACGAATTATTTTTCAACAGCATTCATTCAGCTTTTCATATTGTTCAGATAAATATGATTTCCACATTCCAGAACCTTTAACATGGTACATAATTCTAAACCAAGTGATCAACGTGTACTATCACACATTGATATTCTCAGCATAATAATACATACCTACCAACATATATTTAGATATCCATACGGATCACGACAGCTTCTCGAGATCTTTATCACATGTGGTTCGGACTTACATATTACACATGTGGTAAATAAAGCAGTGCAAAATGTGTAATGCAAACAATACAAACCAGGCAAATAGAGTCGAGATAATTTAAAGACATACTGCTGAGCGAGACGGTTGGTTCCACAGTTTGGCTTCAACCTCGTCCAATTCATTTTGCTGATTTTTCAAATTATGAAGTGCTGCACCTCCAGCAAAGAGTAACATACCGATTGGCAGGACCTTGTCCGATACCGACTCAGTCCTTTTGTTTCTATTATTTTTGTGCCCACCCTGGTCATTACTATTTCCAGAGTTTTGCTGTGTCGTCCTACCATCCCAACTACTTGTCAGTGAGTGACGGATATCACGGTGTCCTAAACCTCTTTTACTACTGGCAAAATAACTGTCACTGGATTTAGATTTTAATAATTGTTGACTATTGTAGGAAACAGTAAAATTTGAACTACTGCGTTCAGATAGATAACAACTTGAATTTTTTAATGTCCTAATTTCAGCCCTTTTTGTAGAATGGTCACTGACACCAACTGGGCTTTCTCGCTGTGGAGAAACGACAGAACGTGGAAAACTATGAATAGGCGAGTTTGTTGTGTTTCTTCCTCGAAGAAAAAGAGCGTAGAGATTCCAAAGGTTTCGTGCCATATTGACAAAAAGGCATTTAAAAAGTCACACTATACAAAATTGGTGCTATTTAGTAACTTTACAAACCAAACTCATTAACAGAACGGGTAGTGGTATCAACAACATGGCGATTATGCGGCCTTCATTGTACGTTCAACAGCAGGACGATATTTTTCAATGCTTCAGTGGAAGCAGAAGCACATAATGACATCTCCATTGCACCCGAATATTGTATGGTAATTACTCCATGAGTACCACTAACATCAATACAGCTTTCACTTACATTGTAATATGTATCATTACCAGAAAATTTTGTGGACTGACTGCATCATACACAAGATAATTCTCTCGAAACAGGTGAGCGAAATTCATCAAAAGTTAATGTTATCTTATCATTCTGAACGATTACGACTCGGGGGTGAATAAATACTCGATACTGGACCTGTGTCGTTTTATATATATGGATGATTAATGGTTCCAACACGTCAGCAAAACCTTGATTTCACATCATTAATCAAAATATTTGTGTTGTAAATGCATAACCTGTTAGTGTAAGGTTTTTAACTGCAACGTTTTAAAACAGTCTTTGTATACCGTTTGAACAATATAAAAATTGCCAAAAATTTAATGTGGCGTATATTTATAACAATACATTGGTACAGTCTAAAATATTTATGCAAATATTTGTACCCTATGTCATACGAGTATACAAATAAAACGTTATTTAACAGGTGTGAGGAAATTTGTAATTTGCGAAACAGGCATACATATGCTTGATCATCATTTGAGGTATTTTGAGGCATAATTGTAATCATGTAATCACAATATTGCCACAATCACAAATTGACTCCTTCTAAAACTGCATCAAATTCTACGAAGCATGCATACGATGGAAATCTCTCTGCGAAATTTCTACTCTGTACTTTGTTAAAATTTACATCAGCAAATAATCAACTATCCACTTTTAGTAGCAAACTATTGTCTAGCAAACGAGAATTAGTAATTACTTACTCTTACCTTTCTCGGCTATTTTAGGAGATGCGATGAAGTGGAGAGTAACACAGAGTGAAGAGGTAAGTTTAGATTTAGCAGCAAAAAATTAAAAGAAGGGCGAAATTTATCACATTCTTTGATCCATGCAAATTAACTCATTAGACAATTTAGGCAAAGAGTTCCAAACCACATATGTAAGATTATGCAGCGAGGACAACTTGTATAAATTTATAAACGCGTTAATGTCAAATGGAGAGACAAATATGTCGAGACAGAGATAACAAATGTGCGCTGAATTTACTGGCACTGCTTACTGCCCTGCTTAAGGTCCAGTTGAGAACTACCTATGCGAAAGTAAAAGTGAAACAATTAAAATAAACTTGAATTTAACGTGGGACGATGAAGCTAAAATCTAAAATTGAAGCTAGGTGTATGCCCAGCCCGCCCCCTTAGATGCCGATGCAAAATATTCAATATGATATTGTAAATAACAACACCCACGCACGATGATCTGCATCAAGCCACACGAAAAGTGAATCCTTCACGAGTTATTATTATTATTCAGACCAGTCAGTCAGTAAGTGAATGAAGGTATGCTTTCGTGGGCTTCTTAATTGCATGCCATCCACGCACCTTCGGCCTATTTGGGGAAGCCACCTAACTAAAAGAGACCCACAGCGGAAGGGCAAGGTCAAGATTACAAACAAAAACATTATACATGTGAAGCATGCTCGCTAATGTCTCCATGTCGTCATCGTTGTATGCATATCTTGGTGCAACCACTTGTTGCTAAATATTCAAATATCTCCAACCAAAACCGAATTAAAGAAATTTAACCTTCCTTTCGAGATTGGTTTCGTTAAAAAGTTTCCATTTGTCGCGAATTTAAATATTGAAAGTGTAGCTCTTACCTGGAAATGAAGGATAATTGTCCATATCAGCCCCAAAGTCAGTTTTGGATTGCCTATGTAAAAGTAAAGTCAAAAATTAAAATAAACTTAAATTTAGCGTGGGACGATGAAACTAAAATTTATATAATATGAAATGTTCACGAAATTATTTACAAAACATGAAAAGTATTTAGTATTTACCATCCACAATGTCTTCAGCTCTGATGTTGACCAATTTGATCTATGAATAAATTAACATGCTTAAAAATCTCAGCAACGTGCAATTATTATATTTCAAGTCTCCTTGTTACCTTTCGGTATCTGAGAAAATCCAAAACGGTTTGCACATTCTGTGAAAATAGAATAAAATATTTTCACCATGGATCATGTCGAAGGTATGTTTATTGTTGCAACCAACCGTCTTTCAAAGTCGTTCAAAGTTTAAAATACGTTCAAATAAAGCAGCATAATTTAAGTCAGCGACTTACCTGCAGCATGTGGAAACGCATTCGTCCTCTTTCTCTAGGCTGCAATAGAAATCAATCAAGAAATCGTGGTCAATAACAATTCATATTGTCGGCAAATATTGTTGCCTAATTTATTTGGCCATATTATTCATAAATAATAAATCATGTAGTGACGTCTACTAATATAGTAACGTCATTTGTTAGTACAATCATGATGACAGTTTTCCGAAGCATCGGAAGATAATGAAGTACATAAAAATTTAGGTCTCCTCTTCATCAATTAAGACTGACACCCACGATTGTGTATTTACGATTAAAATACATGCATACGGCAACAACATATATGAGGATGATGTAATATATTGAGACTTACCAAATGCTCAGAAGCCAATACCTCCAGCAATGAAACCAAATTATGGCCATCTCGAAGATCTTCAAAGAGATCGCCCACGCGCTTCCCGCACTGCAAATAAAAAGTGGCTTTAGTAAGATTTGGGATATGCATGGTCATAAGAGTTATTCAAAACATGAATTTGTTGGCACATCACAGCTGTCATTCGCAAATTAAGTTGAAAATAGCCATGCAAATCTGCACATAGCGCAACTAACTTGTACAACAATTTTCCTTTATTTAGATCCGAGCAAACCATTCTAACACTACTTTTGAAATGTGTATGAATGTAATGTAAATGTGTATGTAAAAGTGTCTACTTGACACTTTCGGACCAAAGTTCTGACAACTTTTCAGAGTGAACTATTGAGTAACTAATAAGTGGTATGTAGCAAAACTGTGACATGCGGTTGGTGTTTCAATGAAAACATAAACAACTGCCATTCGACAAATCTCTACAAGATGATAGGCAAGTAACCAATCAAGTACTTAATACAACTGCATAAATAAACATTTAATCTTTTTTATTGCAAAATAACAAATAAGACCAGCTTACTAGCTAGTTAGTCCTTTTTTGGAGAGATTAAGCCATCAATAACCTAGTGATTACAAATTCAGCCAACTATTTAATATGGGCTTAAAAGGATATTTTTTAATGGTTGGAAGCAATTAACAGGAAGCTACGAGAATCTGAGTAACACATATTGCCGTGCTCTTGGCCATATTTTATGTTTTATTACAAAAAATTGAACTACTTTATCTACTCTGCAAATTGAATTACCGTCACGTCCATGTTATTTTTTAATTAACACTGTGCATATTTACTTTGGCGTATAGTAAAATAAAAGAAAAAAGCACACGGTGCGAATTTGTGGTGCAGTGAAAACACTAATCGTAAGAATATGTATACTTACAGATACCGTATCACAATTGCATGATCTCTTACACACGTGAAAACATGTGTAAGTCTGACAAAAAAATAAATATTTTCAATTTAGTAGCATCAATTCATGACTAGTAAAGGTAATTACTAATAAATTATCATGTACACAAAACAGGAAAGAGATTCTGAAATCTCACAGAAAGTAACAAAAAAATTCTTAGACAAACCACTGCGCATTATTACCTGAGACTTTCTCCAATCCTAGTTTTCCAAGTAAGCATGAAAATATTTACAATGCAGAATAAACAGTCAACATAAAAAATTTCGCGTATGTTTGCAATATGTTTTTAACTGATTTTCACATGATCAGGAATGTCAGGAATGTCAGGATAGACGCATAAATTCGAAAATATTGTTTGCAACATTTTATGCTTTAATTATCAGTAGGATGAAGTGGAAAATCAACTGTAATCCAACAAATTCTGCGAGTTTTTTTTCTAAGCAGGAGTGAAGCCATTAAAATTTTCAAAAATATCAAACCTTCAGTTTACTGCGACTTCCATGAATATTTAATTAGCAATAATAGTGCGAATACAAATTTTGCGAGTGTTAATGGTGCACATAAAGGAAAACAACCAAATTTTATGACTTTGATATATTTTGCCACATGCATCGTTGAACCTTCAATACTTGTAGTTTGGTGATTCGAAAGTCTGTCTTGGAGAACTCATCTGCCTTGCTGACTGATTGTGAGACAAACCAGCACAGGTCGAATGGACTGATGGAGGTTTACTCAATCAGTCACCCACCCTCCAGCCCAAATTTGGATTTTTACGCCCACACAATTTGATCATCGTGTCCCTAATCTCATTTTTATGCTTACAGGTTAGTCGTACAGCAGTGCGTTGGCTCGCTAATTGAGTTCTCTCTCCATGACCAGCATTTCCGATTTGATCTCAAACCATGTGCGGCGACTCACTTGATTATTTTTACACGACAGATAATTCAACATTCCTGCAGTATGCTTCCCCTTTAAATGAATAAAATAAAAAAACTCCAGCTAGTGTTTATGTTTATCTGGTGTCATGAGTCATTTTCATTTTCTAAATGATTCGACATATTGAATGCCGATCAGCAGAATTTCATAACACCAATAATGGCATATTAAAAAAACAATAATCCAATTGGTTGAAGGACTTTAGTCTTTAGTATTTCCTATCTGCGAGAACAAGAGTTTATGGACGGGTGATAAAACTTGAAGGTGGATACGCAAGGATGTGCCACATTGGCAGTCAGTCGCCTAACCTCATTTACTAATAAAAACACAACTATTAAAAACAATGATACCCTTTCCCTTAGTACGCCTACAAAAAACACGTGCGAATAAGATTCGACATACATACGCACTTTTTGCATATGCATACACGCATTCTCTTTACTTGCTGGTTATACTGTATTATTTATTAGATGTGATGGATCACATTCTGCGTGAAAGCATTCCTAAATGCATATAATATAAATAGATAAATGCAAAAATGCAAAAAATGTAGAAATATATATTCATGAAATAGAAACCGGCAGATGAGACATGCTTTCCTTCAGCTTCGTGGCGATACACATGTTTAACAAATGGCAGAATGTTGTCAAAACTGTTGAGCTCATCGTCATTACTTAACACCAACAAGTGGCTCAGAACAAGTCTATACCTACCTAATTACATTTTTTAACGGAACAATATGCTATTCTTTATCTTCAAGTCGATATGCAGCCATCCTAATACATGACAATTGATACATTCCATACAAGGAGGTCAATAATTGGGCATTTCACACAGTAATGATTCCCATTCTTGTCTTGAGCTTCATAAAAGGGTTGGAAAAGCTGTGTTTACGCTGGTTGAAATATTTTCATATGACAGTCACCAGTAGTTGCAGTGCCATATCACGACGACGAGGGCAGTTTGTTGACCGAATTTATGACTTTTTCAATAATTTAAATTTAGCAATAATTATGAGTCAAGTCCCAATTTCAGAATTCTTTCGTCTCAATTTGGATGTAACTCGTTCACAAAAAGTGATCAGAAGATAACATTGGCTCACAACGCACTAA